ACCGTTCAGTATCTCGATTCTCTCATAACTGATGCAGGATTAGAGTAGACGTACCGTCTTATTAACCGTGGGAGAACCATCGGCTAGCCATGTATCTTGGGATCCTGATTGGCAGTGAGCATTGCATGAGTCGATGAACATGCCTACAGATGGAGTTGTAGGAAGCGCTGCCAGAAAGTCTGTCCTGAAATCTGTGCCAAAAGAATCAAACGAATCAGATAGGCAATGTTACTGAGGGCTTGTTTAGGAGAGCTATGCCCTGCTCAGCTAAAATAGAGAATGCAAATTGCCAAAGTACTAACTTTGCAAGGTTGTGAGTTGGCTGGGGGAGCAGCTCTTGATATCAAGTTTGCATTGGGCCCAAGCCTTCTTCGGATCAGCTGGACTAGGTGCTAGGACGTTCTTGACCTGTAGGCAATGCAGGCGCAAACTTGGTAATTTTTTCATTATGCTAAGATTAGTTGGCACAATTTATCTTAAACAGTTTGCAATGTGGAAGATATGAAAATTACCTGCCACGAATCATAGGCTGCATTAAGTATGAACAACGGTGTGCGCATGGTCGGGACTACATACTGTGGGAACATACACTGCGTTTGTTTTGAAAGTTAGTTTGAATGCTATGCTTCATACCAGATGAGGTAAGTGAACAAAACTGACCAACTCAGGTGATTGCTTTGAGGTACATGAAGCTGGTAAATTTTTGGCTGATCCCTGAAAGATATTGGAAAATTATTAGGCTTCAAACTTGTATTAAAGAACCAATGATGAAAGTTTTTTTTTTTTGCCTTCTACCAATTCTCTTTGGACATTCTGAATTAAGAACATTGGTAGTTGCAAATTTAAACATTAGATTACTTTAATGACAACCATTTCATGATCAAAAAGAAACGTACATGTAGATTCACAACGTTCTTATAGATTGACCTGGCGTAATAGTTCCCAGAGATATCCTTCCTGCAATGACAAAATATGGTTCTCAGTTCTACTGAAAAAGCTGTCTATCTGTATATTGATATGTTAGACTGACTCTGTAGGTGGAAATAAGGTAGTAACAACCAAGAGAAAACAAAACATGCTACCTAGCAGGATATGTACAATGTACTGACAGTTCTCCAACAATTTGAGAGTGCAGAACTTACCCATCGAAAAAATATCCAGCATCAGAAAAACACTTGACCTTTGTTGTCGCTGGAAACAGATCACGGAATGTGTCACAATGTAGTATTGATGCTAGACCTCCGGCTGAACATCCAGAAAGAAGGGCCTGTAATACGGGTGATGTAATAGGTCATTTTTCTAGGATCATATAGCATTATTCAGGAAGTGAAGGATATCTAACAGGATGAAAATCAAACGTGACAGCAGTTTGTGTAGGTTCGGTTTATGTTCCTAGTAGTTGGAACAAACTTTTCGGTTTGTTTGACGACTAAACATTATGATGCCAACTTTCTATACTTTCATGGATATAAAATTTAATCCCATTGTTGTGGAAATTGAATTAAATATCAAGCATCCATAACCTTGTTTTTCTTTTCTTTTGAATAATTGAATGCAATGAACATACGTTTTTTGCCTTGTTCATTCCCCTCACAGTAAGTAGATCATCGATGATGGCACGCCAAACTCTGAACCCTCTGTAATGGAGATTTTTCGCCTAAATTGAAACATAGTATTATTCTCATTTTTTTTCTGCAAAAATGATAGTACAATCCATAAGTTCAAAACATACAGTGTCCACAGTCTCAACGTCACCAGTAAATGATGAACCATCACAGTATCTGATCTTTACTCTATTCCAGTTGAAGAAATCTGCAGGCAACAGAAGAAATTGCTACATTATATATGTCTGTACTACAACAAATCACAACATCAGCTTTCAGGAGTGCTATGCACATGTAAGGAAATGCCACTCTTAGTTAATTTTACACTGGTACCTGTCTTGAGTTTTAAGGGCCATCAGAGATGGCATTATTGCTAATAGTACACTTCTAGCAGAAATAAAAAAAAATTAGAGAACACCCTCTACATTTACCCTTTTCAAATGTAAATGTCAACGCACTTTTTTTTCTTGATGATCTTAGTGTGAGGAATGGTGCAAGGGAGAAAAAACAAATGACATACCAGGATTGGATTTTTGGCTGCCGCCTAATATCCCTGAAAACGAGAGTGGCCTCATAAATTTGGAGGAGCCCTGAAGTTGCCCTTCCGGACTGCACACTCATCAGGATTCCTGCACCACCCTCCTCCCTTCCAAAGACAGAAACGAAATTCGGTTGATTTATTTCTCTCGAGAGAAAACGTTGGACTGCCGGCAGTATGCAATTTTGAATGTCATTAGCTTAGTCAAATTCAAATACATACCTCCATGTGAACCACCCAGTTATCGGCGCCAGAACCAGAGCCGGGAGAGAAGTGGTATACCGGTGGGCTGCCGTCCAAGCACACTGCAAAATGAATCAGGTAGAGAGGTAAAGAAAGGGGGAGATGGAGATGAAGCTGCACTGCAGAGCACCACCTGCTCCTTTGGCCACCGCGGCCTTGAGGAACACCATCTCCACGTCCCCCGATGCCGCCTCAGCTGACGCCACCACCAGGACGAAACCCAGCACCGCCGCCGCCGTCGCACGGGCCAGCCATGCCCGGGACGCCGCCATTCCGCGAGGCAAGATCTCACGCTCCAAGACCCGGAAGGGAAGGAACGGCCAGTGCAGGGTGGAGGTGGAAGGGCTCTGGTGTGAGACAGAGAGAGAGCGCAAGCAGTGGCTCTGCGCGGCCTCAGGGTGAGACGCTGACACTGGCCGTTTCCACCGCGGCTGGGAGTGGCATAAATAGCAGCAGATGACTGGACGAGGGAGGAAGAGGAAGAAAGCGAACCGAGGAAGGGGAGCGGAGGGCAGGGTGCCGACAATGCCGGTGGCTTGGCATCAAGCAAGGTATCTGTGGATGGATGGCTCTGCTGCCCTGCTGCAGCAGTAGCAATCTGCAAGATTGCAGCAACGCGTCATCGTCCGCTTTAATGCCTCCAGCTATCGATCCACCTACCTGCAAAGGGAAAGGATTCTTTGAGCGTCAGAATCAGATCACTGGAGGATCCGATCATGCACTCGAGCAATGCAGTCGTCATGCACTCGAGCAATGCAGAACTGTGGCTGGCAGTGAGCGAGCGGTGAACCACTGCAGTACGTATAGCATCTCCTCGTACTCGTCAGATGAGATTCTGCGACGGTAATGGTTGGCATCCGGAGAGTGTAGAGGGGACGAGTGTGAAGCCGATTTAGAGGAAAGGGAGGTATGTGCACACGTGAAGAGCCAGCTGCTCGCTTGTGTCGCGTGGCGAGGTAGCATCCAAACACTTTGTCCTCTTCACCGACCAAGCATGCTTAGCTCTGCTTACCTGAGGGCTGAGGTTTGTGCTTCTGCCCACTGCCCACTGCCCACCACAATACCCGTGGTCATCTCCGGCCTGGCTCTGACGTGACAAGACACTTTGAGCGGCGGTTGAGGGCTTGAGGCAACACGGTCCAATTCAAATGCAATGCTGGATAAGGCCTCAATTCAGGGCGTTAAATTTTGCAGTGTTATAAGTGTTTGGACTAATAAAAAAATAAATTATAGATCATCACAAGAAATCCATGCGAGATTTAATTTATTAAGCATAATTAATCCGGCATTAGCACATGGGTTATTGAAGAACATAGCGTTGTCAAATTATGGACTAATTGAAACTTAAAAGATTCAGTATGATAAATTAGTCATGAAACCGTGTGTAATTAGTTATTTTTTAGTACATATTTAATACTCTATGTATGTGTCAAACATTCAATGGAGAGAAAAGTAAACTTTAGAAGGAGAAACTAAAGAAACAAAGAAACAAAGAGGCAAGAAGGCGCCAGCACAAATGGCAATCGCAAGTGACGGCATGTACAGTACAGTGACCATCAAGAGGAAGACTGGGAGTCTGTGATGCGTTTGAGCAGTTCCAAGTGCCAAGTACCATATGAAACACTTTGAGCCGCTCAGACAACATGGTCCAATTCGCGTGCAATGCCCGGGGAAAAACAAAAGAGGTGAATGAAAACTGAAAAGACAATTCACAGGCACACGACGACATGAAGATGAAGGCTGGGACGTGCTTTAGCAGAGGGCCAGAGGCGCAGTGATCCAAGTGCATGTCGGTGACGAGCAGTAGACGTTCCTTCTCCTGAGTCCTGACTCCCTGATTCCTCGCGGTGCCGCGGCGAGCTTTGTCCGTCTCCATGTGCGGTGGCGGGCCCTACGACAACACACCACGGGCCCGAGGCCGAGGGGATATGGCGTGGTCACAGCCTCACGAGTAATGTCCTAATGGGCCAAGCAACCTAAACCAAAAGCACAAAGCAGGCCTCTCAACGCGATATCGAGAAGGAAATCCGGCTCGGCCCACGACCGGTTTCCACGAACCGAGGCGATAGAAAGGGAAGCCACTAGCCACCTCCACTTGGAACGGACAGACGGGCACGTAACGGCACGGCGACGTCACCCACCCACCCCACCCCACCCCACCGCACCGCGGGCGGGGGCGTGTCCCAGGTCCATCGGATCCCGAGCACGCGCGTGTCCCCCGCGCCCTTCCCGTCCTCACATCCCGGTGATCCCACCGCTACTTCACTCGCTCGCTCGCTCGTGAAGCGTCTCGCCGCCCCCACCGATCCACCACCCATCATCCCTCAGCCACCGGCCATGTCGTCGCCGTCGGTGCCCAGCCTCCGCCTCCTGCTCCGCCCGGCGTACCCGCCCTCTCCCCGCCGCGCTCTCGCCGGAGTCTCCCCAACGCGGCCGCGCCCCTGCGCCTCCTCCTAAAACCCCTCGCGTCCAAGGCGCCCGCGCCGTACCACCAGCACGCGCTCCTCCTCCACCAGCGGCGCCGGCATGGCCCGCCCCCCGCCGCCGCGACCATCACCTCCAAGCCGGGTCTCAAGGTACCTTCGGTCTCTCTTCTCTCCCGGCATTGGCGGCGGATGTCGCGTGATCGATTGATTGATCGATTGCCTTGCCTCGGACTGCTTGGCTTGGCTTGGGTTGCCGCGCAGGACCCGAAGAAGTACCAGGAGTGGGACTCCGTGACGGCCAAGTTCGCCGGCGCGGCCAACATCCCCTTCCTACTGCTCCAGCTCCCGCAGATCGTCCTCAACGCCCGCAACCTCCTCGCCGGCAACAAGACCGCGCTCTTCGCTGTGCCGTGGCTCGTACGCCCCAATTTGCGTCTCAGATTCCACCTCCTCTGTGTCTGCTGTGACGCTCGTTTTGACGGATTTGATCGCACGCTTCAGGGAATGCTCACTGGGCTGCTGGGCAACCTCTCGCTCCTCTCCTATTTCGCCAAGAAGAGAGAGACGGAGGCGGTAATCGTGCAGACTCTTGGCGTCATCTCCACCTATGCGGTCCTCGTGCAGCTCGCCATGGCGGAATCCATGCCGGTGCCGCAGTTCGTGGCCACTTCAGTCGTTGTGGCCGCAGGGCTCATCCTGAACTTCCTCAATTACGTTGGCTGGCTCCCTGGAACCCTCTGGCTGCTGTGGGAGGATTTCATCACAGTAGGCGGCCTTGCTGTGCTCCCTCAGGTGAAAATGACTGTTTTGCTTTGCCATCTTACAAATTCAGCTCCTTCTGCTGTTTTGTACAGTGCTGATCAGCTGACGTCATTTGATTCTTTCTCTTCTGGCTATCTCTGTTCGGTCATTTGAAATGCAGGTCATGTGGTCAACATTTGTTCCCTTCATCCCCAATAGCGTACTGCCTGGCATAATCTGTGGTTCTTTGGCTGTTGCAGCTGTTGGGATGGTATGACGCATTATATTATCTTGCATTAAGCAATTTCTGTTTATTAACTCTGATATCATCTGAATGCCTCAAGTAAAACTGGAAAGCTAAAAAATGTATTGTCTTTATGACTCAAAGGTGACTGAAGCAACCTTTTATCATTTGCTTGTACCAAATTAGTTGACCATGCTTGATGTCAGGTTCTAAAGCAGCCTACTTATTAGGAGAGATATTGTTCTAAGTAATCGTGTGAGCAATAATGAAGTCCGGTTATGTAATAGGATGTTATTCTTATTTTAAGTGCTTGGGGGGTTTAAGTTCATGTTTGGTTGGATTTAATTATACATAGTGTTTTTTCTTTATGAACTCTCATTTAATTATGCATAGGATGTAATTTCAGTCTGTTTGTTTGATTTGCGCACATTATAAGTAGCTTTGGTTGCTGGTAAGAGAACTTGTTTAATAAGACATGCAAGAGATTATCAATATGAGAACACAAAACATGGAAAGTCTACTTTATCTTTTTCCATTTGTGCTGATATATTTCTATTTTAGGGCATACTTACCAACTTATCAATCGAGCACTAAAAGTAGGTTGTATTCACATCGCATGGTTCCTTCATTTAATGCCCTCATTCCTAGCTTATGGTAGCTTTTGATTACTTTTTCCTTTTTGGTTTCAGGCAAGGATGGGCAAGCTTTCTGATGCAGGGGTTAAATTTGTTGGGTCATTATCTGGTTGGACAGCCACGCTTCTCTTCATGTGGATGCCAGTGGCACAGATGGTATTCAAGCTTTCACACTTGTACCAGTGGAAACTTATGATCACATAATGCTGATGCACTAAAATGCAATTTGTTTGTTGGGTTCTGCAGTGGACAAATTACCTTAACCCAAGCAACATCAAAGGGTTGTCAGCTTTCAGCATGTTGCTCGCAATGCTTGGAAACGGACTTATGCTTCCTCGCAGTATTCATCCGCGATTTGATGTGGTATTGGATTTTTTATTCCATATTGCCTGATTCCTTTTTGTGATTCCAGACCAACTGTTCGAGAAATCATGATGGGAAGTATCTAACTCCTACTGGAAATGCCTATTGTAGATGGGATGAGATCATAGGAAAATATCACTTCCCTAGGCATTTCCGTGCATGAAGCTTTACAGGAAACCTCCTTCTAAATCATGTTCATTAACTAATCATGAAAGGGTTTGAAAAACAGAATAAGATGCCCATTATTTCATAAACTGAGGCTGATGGAATACCTTACTTTCATGGAAGTTTGAATTTATTTTTGTTGCATATATAAAAGATGTATTTATTCATACTCAATAATATAGTCAAACCAATGCCATTCTTATCTGCTGTATTACAATTCCTGTCGTCCCTTAATCATAGTTATTTTCATGAATCTAGGTTCACTGGTTCTGCTTGGGCATGCGTCCTACAGGGTTGGGGTAACCTGACATGCATGTACTGGTAATGTATTTCTCATAGCTGTGATATCCCTTACTTCTGTATTTATCCTATACGATTCATACAAGACAATTAACCCTTTTTTTTGTTCCAGCTTTAATAGCATCAGCCGAGAATTTTACTTTGCAACATCAGCTGGTCTGCTTCTATGGCTAGGTCTTCTCTCTTTGCAATATCTAGTTTGTTTCTTTCCGAATATAAATGTCTTTAGCAGAAACATTTCATTTTGGCAATTTTGTGAGGAGCACAAGCATTTCAGAGTTGCAGCATTTTTGTGAAGAGCACAGCGTTTCAGAACTAATACAGAACTGAAATTTTTTGTCGCTCTGCAAGTGTGCTAGATTGTCTTTCTGACTGTACATGTCACTTTTTTATTGCTTGCTAGGATTTACTCTATGGAGAGATACCATTGCCTATGGCAACAGCTCGCCCTTGACTACTTTGAAGGAGCTATTTTTTGGGAAGTGATGAGCCATCGGCAACTTTGTTTCTCTCTCTCTCTTTTTTTTTTTTTTTTGAGCCTGGACTCCTAGTGTACAAGTTGTAGTATCTGTACTCTACACAACACACTCACACCACCACACACACGCACACCCCTATAAGCTACAACCACAACTTTGTTTCTCTTGCACTTGAAGCAGCTAACTGTTCCCGGGTAGGAAGCTCTCCTGCAATAACTCGTGGTGACAGTCAAGAACGGTGTTTCAGTTGCTCTCATTTGGTCTGAAGAACGGTGCTTCAGTCTTGGCATTTTGAGGTGAAAACGTGAAACTTACTGGTCAGCTGAAGGCTATAAACATTGCCATGACCTTGGAGTGGAAGCTCCAACTTCCCTAGCCTGTACAAAGCGCCATGTGCCTCTCTACAGAAGCCACCGCCTGATGACCAGCTTCCAGCCTGTTCGTTTCGGCTGGATTGGCTTGTAAATGCCACTTTGAAAATCTGCAAGACTTGGTGGTTTAGTGTGAGAGAAAAATACTGTTCGTTGGTTGATAAGCTAAGGCTTATAAGCCGAACAGCTAGTGTGAACAGTAGCAAGCTAGCCCTAGTCTGATGTAAGAACAAATTTATATTGTCCATCCCATATTGTCTTGAATAAGATTCCAGCTCTTTCTTTTTTTGAAACCGATGAAATTTCAGCCCTTGCTGTCGTGCAAAGTTGTGCCCATTGTCCATGGATGATCTTCCAACAGCTGCTGCTGATCTGGGCCCTGCATTGTTGTTTCTTGGGAGTGCATTAGCGCACTGGATTGTTTGTTTTGACAGGGAAGGGAATATTATTATCTCGTCTTCTGCTCTTGGTGAAGCAAGTGGGTGGGCGGCACTGCGCCCGGTACGGACCAGTCCAGTCCAGCTAAAAGCCCACTTGTATTAATGAACAACGCCAATTTCCCCTTTTTTCCTTGGAAAAAAGGAGTAGAAAAGAAATCGAAATGGGTGCAGGGAGACAGCTAGTGTGAACGCGGCAGGCCCCGTTCTCTGAGACCGAGCAGTGTGAATGGGCAGAAAAGTAATGGCAGGCAGAGGCAGGCAGCGGCGAGAAGCAAGAAGAAAAGCGAGGCGAGCAAGCAAATCGAGGCAAGAAAGCGGGGTAGCCTGCAGCCTGCAGTCACCTGCCGCCGCCGCTGCCTCGCCGCGGTTTACAGCCTGTCGTTAGGGATTGTTGCCGTTGGGCAAGTCGCGCTGAGGAGACGAGGGCAGGAGGGGCGGCGAGATGATGGAGGCGGGAGGCGCGGGAGCGGGAGGAAGGGACGAGAGGGTGCCGCAGTGGGGCGCGCAGGAGACGCGGGAGCTGATCGTGGCGCGCGGGGAGATGGAGCGGAGACCATCGCGGCGCGCCGCAGCGCGAAGACGATGTGGAGGCCGTCGCCGCGCGGCTCCGTGAGCGGGCTACCGACGAACCGCCAAGCAGTGCAAGTGCAAGTGGAAGAACCTCGTTAACCGCTACAAGGTAACACAAACTTTCTATCCTAGTCTCCGTAACTCTAGATTGACCGGTCTGTTCTGGACCACCAGGCATCGTTACGGAGACTAGCAGAGTTTCACATTTGCTGCATTATTTGTGCAACCATTTCCATAAGTAAAGGATATTGAAGAATCTTTGTGTTGAATGAAATGATGTTCAAGGCAATGTTGTTCGCGTATTCCTTCTAATTTGAATGAATGTACAAGCCCTGCCTTTTGTTACAAAAAAGGGATTATTCAATCCTTTTTCCGTTGTTACAAAAAGAAGGGATTATTCAATCGTGAAACTCTGCTGCCTTCCGTTGTAATTTCTGATTAGAAATTCCGAAATTTTTAATAATACATACATGTGCTATATAACTCTAATCTTATATTTTTCTATTGTTTATATTACATATTTTCTATTTAATAGATATGTAGTCATAAATCATATTAATATTTCCAATTTTTTTAGATCAATTTTTAGAAAAAACATACTTCATGTGCTAATCTCTAAAAATTTCTGTCTTTCACGAAATTCGGTAATTTCGTGGTGGCTGAAATTTTGGCGATATAAATTAGTTCTTCCAATTCAAGGTTGAGTGTCTTTCCTCTATATGTTATAGATAGACAACTGATTTTTCAGACTTTATCCTTGCATTGTACATTTGTGCTACACATGATGGAACGTGATGCTTTCAATTACACATTTTGAAGTAGATGGATACCTAGTAATACTAAGATCTATAGATAATATATTTTTTTATCTTGTACTAATTAATTTACAGCACAGGGGATTTCTAAAACTTTCTTAGTCCAATTGTTGTTTCTGTTTTCAGGTTTTCTTCACAAATATCGCATAGATGCAAGGCTTGATTTTGTTACTATATTTTGTATAACTTTCTTAGTCCAATTGTTGTTTCTGTTTTCAAGTTTTCTTCACAAAAATCTCATAGAAGGTGTATTCCACTTCGTTTTGTTCTGAAATAAAAACATGGCACAAATGTTTTTAAGAAGCTAGTATAACTAAACAGATATCTAGGACAGTGAATTATTACTAGTAGTGATATAAAGGGAAATCCATATATCATTATCTTTGTTGACTATGAGTCTATGATGCATGAAAAGTCAATGTGGAATCTCAAGGGTATCATCCAGAATTGGTGGTTTAGTTAAAGTTAAGATTTTCAGTTTAGGCTTTCTTCACATTTGTTAATTTGTCTGAGAAATTGCACTTGAACTGGCTCAGAATGTGACATTTTAACGATCCAAACAATTAAAGAAAAATTATAGCTGGCAAAAAGGAGGGGTGTTAAAATTATGATACTACCTGTTAGGTGCGTGAGAGCATGAATGCGCTGATTAGGTTTATTGAGAGAAAAATGCGCAAAACCTGTGCACTATTGGTGATGTTCCTGCAGACCACAGTAGTCATGTGTCATTGGTCTTCTGCTGCAATATTTATAAAAGACTTTGTATTTTGTCTCAACGAGGATGTCAGGAAATAGATAATTATATTTTTTCATCAGGAGGGGATGAAAAATTGGAAGTTCCATGTTAGGTTCAGATTGACTCTGCTGTTGGGTTCGTTGGGCGGTGGGTCCAATTTCAAGCTTTGTATTAGAAGTTTTTCTTTTATGCTTAAGAAAACCCAGTTCCTACTTACAGGGACTGGCTGATTGTTTATTGTTTGTACACATAGTTGGTCCATCTTTGTCTTGTGGTCTGTCCACCTTCTTGTTTGCTTTGTGATTTCAATGATTAGTTAGTACCTTCATTCTTTAGTTTATTATAGGCACGAGCTCATAATTTTATGCATCCTTTCATTTCATCAGGGGAAAGAAACTTCTGATCCAGAAAATGGTAGGCACTGTCCCTTCTTTGAAGAGCTGCATGCCGTCTTCACAGAGCGTGCTAGAAATATGCAGCGGCAACTCCTTGAGTCTGAATCTGGAACTTCTGTCAAAAGAAAACTGAAGCGACCTGGTGGTGACCGGTCATCTGGGGAGTCTGATGACGAGGATGATGATGGTGAAGAAAGTGATGATGAGAAGCCGATGCACAGCAGAAAGAGGAAAGCTGATGACAAGAAACAGCAATATCAAAGAATGTCTGAGAAGTCAAGAGCAGGAATTTCAAGCATCCATGAACTGCTGCAGGATTTCCTGGTGCAGCAACAGCACATTGATGTCCGGTGGCAGGAGATGATGGAGAGACGCCCCAGGAGCGGGTTGTTTTCGAACAACAATGGCAGCAGACAATGCAGAAGCTGGAGCAGGAGAGGTTGTTGCTGGAACACTCGTGGATGGAACGGAGGAGCAAAGAAGGATGAGAGAAGAAGCACGTGCTGAGAAAAGGGATGCGCTCCTGACCACTCTGTTGAACAAACTCCTACAGGAAGATCTATAGCAGGATAAGCTTGCTCTTCGTTTCGTCAGGGTATAGCTGCAGTAGTGGACATTGTTTTCTCACCTTTGTTTTATCAATTCTTTGTAGCTCCTACATATGTTGACATGTGACTGTTCAAAGAAAAATGTTTCTTGCAGCATTTCTATTAGGTTCCAAGGGCTCCTTTTCCAGTTATTTGGTGGAGTAAAGCTAATTTTATGTTTAATTGTGGTTGTAACTTGTAAGTATCATACTACCAGGTAGGTCGTCTACAGATCAATGCTAATATGCTTGAGAGATAATTGGGCTCTCTGTCAGCAATGGACAGAAGTTCATGTAATCTGCTTGTTCAAAAATAAGTTCATGTGGCCTCAAAGAAAAAAAAAAGTTCGTGTAATATATTTGCTCAAAGATAAATCTGCTTGTTCAAAATAAATCCATGTGGCCTCAAAGAAAAAAGTTCATGTAATATATTCACATGTTTTAGCAAAAATGCTTTCAGCTGACCGGCCTTGTATGAGAACAAGCGAACAACTGGATAAGCCCATCGGCAGCAGAAGGGCACTGCCCGGACGGCGACTCCGAGAGGGAACGTTCCGAGGGAACCGGGCAGCGCCGGCGCCGCAGCGGCAATGGAGGGCCAGCCGCTCCATCTCCTCCTTGCCCAGCCCCACCACCCTCGCCTCCCCGGCCTAATCCCCAACCACCCTACCCACTACCTGCCCACCTCCCGCCTCCGACTCCGCGTACACCGTCGCAAGCCGAAGCAGCTCGCCGCAGTGCCTTCGAGGCGTCCACCGGGCAGCCAGGCCGACGCACCTGGCCGTAGCGGCTGGGAGCGGGTGCCCAACGCGGTGGCGGCGCTGGTGCTCCAGCTGACCGTGTGCTCGCTCCTTTTTCTCTTCCCCAACCGTGCCCGAGTCCTCGCGCTCCCGCCCCTCCGGGGGCCGCTGCGTGGTGGTTGAGGCGACGCAGGAGGAGGAGGACAAGGAGTGGAGGCTGCGCTGCAGAAATGGAAGACCAAGACCTACGCGCTCTCGGTGCCCCTCCGGGTCGTCGCGCTCCGTGGCTCCTTCCCTCCGTCTTGGATTAAGGTCTGGTCGCCCTCATCCACCATAGACAAAGCATCCCCTTTTGTCAGATTAATAGTTAAACCATAGCATAACATAATTGCATAAATTTGTGTGAGCATGGAAGCATGAATGGTGTATGGCCAGGGCCGCTGACCCTGGAATTCTTTAAAAGAAAAATGAATGGTGGATGGTGTGAAATTTAGTGAGATGTTCTTTTTCTGTTTGTAGGATTTCGTTGAAGTTCAGGGGAAGAGGCTCAAATTCAGTCCCGAGCTCCGTGCTAATCTTGATGGGATCTTCTCTGAGATGTCACAATGTATGGACAAGGGTCAAGTTCAGCCAAAGTCCGCAATGGCAGCTGATGTCGTTTCCCTTGGTGACTCCTGGCTTGGCTATGCCATCCGTAAGGGATTGCTAGAGCCTGTCAAGAATGCTGAAGAACAGGATTGGTTTCGTAGCCTGAGTGACAGATGGAAGGTGAGAAGTGAAACCTTTACTTTTCCTTAACAATGTTTATCACTTATGTATACTTTGCCACAAGTTTGTGATCTTGCATTGCCTTGGTAAATAATTTACATGTTGAATTTGATTAGATTATATACGCTTGTAAGAAATGCAGTCTACCATGAGAAATCTATGACCTGTGTAGGTTTCTATTCTCTACTGGATGCTGGCATATTATTAATATTCAATGATCCATCAATTCTGCTTGTAAGTTATAAGTCATTTTAGAATTGTTCTCAAGAATTAGAATCCTCGATCATTGACTGACATTTAGCCTTATGCTCTTCAGCTCTTATGTGCAGTAGGCATGCTAAATGGAGTTAGCTGTCGAGTTTAGTGTACAAACATTTGGAGGTAGCTAGGAGTAGGACCACACAAAGACGTAGGCATAGGGAGAGATTGGAAAAGATGGCTCATTTCATGATCTGAATTGGGTTTGTTTTGCTAGGGGAACAACATAAAAGAAACAAAAATACCAAAGTGTCTAGAGGTTGTTGAATTGCTTTTATTTTGAAAGAGAATGCAAAAGGAACTTATAATGGAGATGGGGGGGAGTAATAAAGTAGTCTATCGCTCATTAGTTGCTTCAGTCATGCACATTTTCTTAGTCTTGGGTTTTGTCAGTCACCAATCACCAGTCACTACACTATCTCTGATCTCGTAAGACTTTTTTGTAGCATAGCTTCTATAAATTGGCTGTGAAAATGTTCCTCTATGTACTTTGCATTTTCATTATAGTCTATCAGGTTCATTTGTGCAGGAACCAGAATGGAGAAGCAGATCCTAATGGTACAATATGGGGAGTTCCATACAGATGGGGCACCATGGTCATTGCTTACAAGAAAAACAAGTTCAAAACACATAATCTGAAGCCAATACAGGTGAACATTTTTTTGAGAAAAAATATGCAATATTAGCCTAAACTTACAACGGCATGTTTATAGGCTTCCCTTTTCCTAGGCAAAATGAAATGTGAAGCATAGTACTGACTACTGGGACATACTTTTTGCTTGTACTTATTGATGCTGACTATCTTTGCTGTGTTAAACCTGGTAGGTGTTAAGCATATTGATTTTTATTTGTAGGATTGGGAGGATTTGTGGAGGCCTGAGCTTGCCGGGAGGATTTCAATGGTCGATTCTCCTAGAGAGGTGATTGGTGCAGTTCTGAAGCATCTGGGATCGTCATATAACACAGTTGATATGGAAATGGATGTCAATGGTGGTAGAGAAGCAGTCCTAAATAGCTTTACACGATTACAGAAGCAGGTTTGCACCAGATACAGCACATCCTTTTTTGTCTCGTTCTTGAGTATATGTATATATGATCTAATATGGGCCATCCAAAATTCTGTTATGATTGATTGCGCTGGATTTGATATTGGTTGTCTTTGGTAGGTCCAACTATTCGACAGCATGAACTATCTGAAATCATTTAGTGTTGGAGATGTATGGGTTGCAGTGGGTTGGAGCAGCGATGTGATCCCTGCTGCAAAGCGAATGTCTAATGTCGCGGTGGTTGTTCCCATGTCAGGCAGCAGCCTATGGGCTGATCTATGGGTATGTTATGGTTTTCTCATGTACTCCATAATGCATCGTGCGTTTGAACTATCTTATTGATTGTTATGGTTTTATACATTACAGGCAATACCATGCGCGACAAGATTTCAGACTGACCAAATCGGCAGCCGAACCAGAGGCCCATCTCCACTGATCCACCAGTGGTTCGACTTCTGCCTGCAGAGTGCTAGAAGCCTACCCTTCCGCCAAGACGTCATCCCGGAGCATCTCCACTGTACCTTGAGAACCCTGTGCCAGAGGTCCCTCAAGATAAGAACAAGAGGAAGCCGAAGCTGGACACGAACCTTATCCACGGAGTGCCTCCGCCCGAGATCCTGGAGAGATGCGAGTTTTTGGAACCCCTGTCAGGTAAGACCCTGGAGGATTACCAGTGGCTGATGTCTAGGGTGCAGAGACCTCGACTTGGTTTGTTTGGGAACGTGTTGCGAAAGATGTCAGCTGTACTAGACTTCAAAAGAAGATTTTAGAGCCATTGTACTGTACTTGACCAAGGGTTTTTACTTCGTGGTGCAACTAATTGTTCCGTATGTTTTCGATCACGTTGTTCTCATTTGCGGCAGTGGTGCGAGACTGTTTGAGTGGTGGAGGCAAAAATGGCCGTGACCGTGAGGACCTCAGGGCTCAGGCTGCCCCGCCGCTCGACGGCAACGCTCTGATGACCTCTGAGTCTGAGGCCGGTCAATGCGTTTGTTTGTGATGGGCATATTATGGCAACGACTGATCAGGAGGTCGTGCGGATCATTTTACACGATGTCCAATTGTCCATCATCGTAGGCAGCCGGGCCGACGTGAAAATGCCGAGCCAGGAGCGGCAGGCCGCAGGCGGAAGGGCGCCTGATGCCTGCTGTCCTGCTTCTGATCAGAAACATGAGTTCAGTCATATCACTTGCACTTTGTTTCTATTAATTCTTCAATCGTCTCACGTACGTAAAGGGATTTACACAACACCGCACTTCTCACAAGCGTTTGGCTCACACAAAACAAAATCGGAGAACCAATTTAACCATGTACAGGGACCATCCTAATTGCCGTGGGAAGAATGTCTGACAGCTGATGAGTAGCCAATACATGAAGGTCAGTGCCGAATCAAATCACTCTTTAGCAGCCAGAGCCTACCATATCATGAGCTCCTGAATCCTGGATATGACTGATGCAGGTGCCCGGCAAGCATCTCTTACAGTTTCAATTTGCCCAGGTCAATCTTTTGCTTAGGGTATGTGTAGGCTTCATAGTTTATCTTCTGGCCAAGGGAGCTCAGTTTTGTGAGTGTGGTTATCAGGTCTACCTGCCATACAGAACAAATAGGCAGCACAAGTCAGAATAACTGTGCACTGCCAGCACATTGATCAATTAATCTTACTTCATAGTCAGTCCGGGAGACAGTCTCGCGGCTCCGCTGGTACTTCTCTACCCATGGACGGCAATCCGGATCAGCTATCAGTCGTTCCTCGGTAGCAGCCTGGTCAGGTCCAAGGAACGCTGACATAACAGCAAGCTGCAAACGGAGCCATCTTCTGTTAAACGTGAGACTGGTTCATGGTTTTTGCTATCTCTCATGGCAATAATGAGATCCAGTTTATTGCAGCAATCTAATAAAGAGGTGGTAGTGACCTGGCGAGGACCCAACCCAACAGCGACGAACCTATCCTTCATCTCCTGCACAGAAGCTTTGCTCCACTCAGGCACTCGTCCCTCTGGATCTGCTTCTTCTGTGTCTGCTCTCCCGAATGTTTTATCGAACAGACCCCACTGTGGTGGCAAATAGTCAAAACAAACGTAGAGATAAAAATAATTTAACACGTTAAATTAGGAGCAGCTTGTGCAGAGTATATACTGAACACATGCAGCATCGTGTGGCATAAGGAGCGATATGGCACACAGTGCATACCTGCCCATTTGAACCATATGCAGAGTATAGGGTTCTTCCCTTCTCTTCATTTCCACCACATTTGGCAATGGCAGCGTCAAGAAACGATCTCTTCAGTGCTGATTGTGCTGTTTCAAGAAAAAAACAAAATTCTTAATTTAAAACTAGCCGATGTACGGAAGAGCCTGCCAGTAAAGATCAACAGGTTTCATAATGGTAGTAAAACTGCACTGGAAATTATCGAACCTGCAAACTGGATCAGATCTGCAAATGAAATGGGACCTCCCTTGGAAAAGGAATCTATCTCCTTTTTGGCTTCAGTCAGCAAATCCAATGCAGCAGAGAGCCCACTGTTTTCAGGTCTGCTTGTTTCTGGGCTTTATTTGAAAAATTAAGTATTAAATGGTGGAGCAACGTAATGGATCATCAAGGTCGAGAAACTTGTTACTTGTTAGATTATCTTCAGCTGAGCATTTTCTTCTCTCAAAACAAAAAACAAACTGAAGAACTGAAGAAGAGAAAAGGAAAAAGAAAATGCTACCTAGCCTGATAGACCCATTTGCACCTCCAGTTTTTGTGGCCTGCAGAAGAATTGAACCAACTCTCTAAACCAACAGAGGGACCCAGATGCTAATGATATAAAGCCATTCAGAGACCAGACCTTGTCATATGTGATGGCATCATTCAATGCCAAGGTCAACAAAGATGGAACGAGCTCTGGCTTGGCCTTCAAAAGATTATCAGGTTCACTGTTTCAGCAACAGAAGTGATAGATAGGTGAAAGAAAAACACTGAGTACAATGAAATGAAGTGTGTGTATCACCTTTATGGCTACGTAGAGGGTGTCTTTGATTTTTGCTGCAAACAAGAGTCAAAAGACTTCAATTTCGATGGTGAGAATGAAACACAGCATTCAAGGGGGCAATGGAAGTAACAATGTGAGATGACCTACATTGGAACTCAGACCGTTGTCTACGCTCTATGAGATCAGCTGCAGTAGCCACTCCAGAGAATCTCGTAGAGCCGTCGATCATTTCCTAACCCAAGACATAAATAAACAAAGTTCAGCTTATCACCTCTGAAACAAAAGGCTATTCCTCTGAAAACGGTATAACAACTTGATGCTCTACCATCATGCTACATTTGTTTACTTCTGTGGCACCAATGCACAAGGGCATTGATCTTTTGTCAAAAATGGTAGCACTACCACGTACCAAACCAATGGCGGTCCCGATGCAGGTGCCAATGAATTGTCTCCGACGGAATTGCAGACGCTCTTTATGAGCAGCAGCCTCCGAGCCCTCAGCGTCAGCCCGGCAGCACACTCGAATCTGCGCAGGCAAACCAAAGATCACGCGATTCCGTCGGGGCTGAAATGGAATCTGCACAGGCCAAACAGTAAGTTCAGGGGGCGTACGTACGTGCGGGTACCTCCGCGTCGGAGTCCAAATGGAAGAGCTGGCAGCGACGCCGTGGGCGACAAGCGGCGCGGTGGAGAGGAAGTTCGCTCCCGCCATTTCTCTGCTCGCTTGGCTGGTTGAGCGCTCTCAATGGAGGCTCGCAGGCTGGTGCGGCAGTAGCTCGCGAGGATAAGGCAGCGAATCGTGGATCACCTGTCTGCGCCACACGTTGCATATCGCGGGCTGCATTGCCTGCATACCGTTATCTCTACGAGAATGTGATAGTGACGGCATGCATATTATGAGTATATGACTGTCAGTGGCAATGTGGCGTCATGTCACCTGCAACAATAACGGGTTGGAGCACTGAAGCAGTTTGTGAGAGGGGAACGGTCCAACGGACGGGCCCCTTCCGAGATGATCATGCAGTATATCATCTGATAATCGTCAATAATTGATTAATTTCTGACTAAAACGACTTTAAATTATCATGCGAAGTTAAAAGGATACATCGTTCATATCAACCAGAGGTACAAGCCCAAATGCATAAGCATGTAAAGCTTAAAAGCGCAGCAAACACAACGGATGCCATTCTCATCTGTAGTTGGGGGGGCTGCTACATCTCCAGCATCACATTTAGGCAACTTGTGGAAACCGTGGCATTTTCCATCTCCAGAAACAGCAACATCATCGCTGGTAAGACTGGTTCTCCCTCCGCTTCACATAGCGGGTCCGATCACTGTACCGTGGTCGATCTTGAGCTCTCTGAGGCACGGGCTCCACCCTTCTCTGCCTTTCTGGCGATCGCTGAACGATTTCACCGTTCACAAATAACTCAGCTGCAAAGAAAGATAACTTCATGAAAACCTAAGATATGTTCATATTAAGATGATTACGAATGAAAGAAATTTAATGACAGACTGAACTTAGAAAGGATTGAAATGTAAACGACACCAGTCAACACACTTGATAAATTGGGAAGAGACAAGGCATTCGACAGAAAAGCAATGAATTGTAGTCCATGAATATAACAAATGAAATGTGAGGCATCCAATAAAAGTGAAATTTCATGCCATACGGCAAGCTAAACAAAAATAATAACAGCAAATGTCAAATTTTTAACTAACCGTTTAGCATTGAATGACAAAAAAAACTAATGTTATTAGCAGTTTCACACTCCTTTACATCTCTTTCAAACAATTTTTCACTTATTTCAGAGGAATGTGCAACGCAGCAATAATATGATTGGTAGATATAAAACTACTATATGATGGGATAAGTCTCATGTGCTGGTCTTTGTGGGGTTGTGCTGGTCACATGGTCTTTGTGGCTGCATGATCTGTTTTTTAGACAGCATAGGACAGCATCTTAGACTAGAGGACAGCATCTTAGAGGACAACATCTTAGCATCTAGAACAACATCTTAGCATCTAGGACAGCATCTTAGACTAGCATCTTGGCATATGCTTGGCTGGCTAATAGCCTATAAATATGTACCCCCATCCCTTTAGGTTGGCACGGCATTGAGAAATAAACCAGAAAATTGCCCCAACTCCTAGTGTCATCCTCTCTCGATGAGATTAAGAATTCTGCTACTACCAAGAGTAAGAATTCAGCGACTAACACTATAGAAGGAATCCAGTAAGTAGAATTATGGCAAACTAAAGACAAAGATTGTTGGGAAACAATACTAGGCAACTGGGAACCATACAGCACAAAGTGAGCGTTTCTTCCAGGGCAGTGACAATTCAAGGATCTATTAATAGGTAGAATGAAATAGTCCTCAAAAAATAAAATGAACCAAACTCAACTTCACACTGCTTTACATCTCTTTCGAACAACATTTCTTCACTTATGAGTTATGTTAGAGGAACGTGCAGTGCAGTAATAATATGATTGCTAGATTAAAAACTACTATAGAAGGAATCCAGGAAGTAGAACTATGACAAACTAGCAAGACAACAGATTACTGGGAAACAATAATAGGCAACTGTGAACAATACAGCTGAAAGTGAGGTTTTCTACCAGGGCAGTGAAAATTCAAGGATCTATTAACAGCAGCACGAAATAGTCCTCAAAAAAACGAAATGAACCACACTCAACATAAAGCTACAGGACACTTAGGTAATAAACTTACCACCATAATCCTTGTTCTCAGCATCAACATAAGAGTCAGGAAGCACAAATAGAACCCCTGGAAGGCCTGTTTTATCCAAAACACAAACCGCAGTTAGTGCAACTAGTGATACATGTAGTGTACTGAAAGTTCAGAAGAGTCATATCTGTTAATGCTTATAGAAACAAGCACACGCATAGCACGATATCTGCAAACGGTCACTGAAGAAAGAATAAGCATAGCATATTTCTAGTAGTAGATGTCAACACGTCACTTTTCATGATAAAATTGCTCAATGAACACAATAACATAGTACCTAAGCTCAAACAAGTAATGTGTCACGGACACAATCACGAATAGACTGCAACATTGTAATAGTTGAACATAACTAAGGCTTCAACACAAACATAAATCTTAATTTTCCATGTTATCACACTAGGCGACTATATCAACATTATAGCACAACGCAAAATACATTAATTGAAACAAAAGATGACATCACATTGCATGTCTTGACTCTTGTACAAGGAACCAAACAAGTCACCTTCGAGTTTGTTGGAGGTCTCTTCATCAATTTCACACCCGAATCCAAAATAGCGCTCGCAGGATACGTTGTATATCTTCTTCTTCGCCTCCTCCTCGCTGCAACAACATACAGCGAATTATCCAAAATTATTTCTCATCCCCGCGATACATCCTCATCCCCGCAATACATCCAAACCTATGGACATACTTGATTGAATGAGGAATAACAATTACCTCCCTACCACCTGGGCAAGGGTCTGGATGTAGCAATCGATCATTTGCTGCTTGGTGGCGCCCTCGCCGCCGGGCTTGTCCATGACGATGAGCCAGTGCTCGTAGTCGCAGCCAGGGAACAGCGGGGCCATCTCCGTCGGCGCACGGTCACCGCCCTGGCCCGACCGCAGCGGGGAATATGAGGAATCCGGCCGCCGCGCCATGCAGCGGATGGACCCAACGCCGCCACGTTGCCGCGGGGGACGGATGGAAGAGGAGAACGGGAGGCGCCGTGACGGGAGGAGCGGACGCGCCGGGCGTGCGGCGACGAGGGCGCGTGCTGCGGTGGCCATGGGTGGCGAGGGAGAGGCGGCTGGCTGGCCGCGACGGGAGAGGCGGAAGCGGTGGTGAAATGGCGACAAGAGGGGGTTTGGAATTGGATGGGGTTTTGATGAGGGGACCCGGACGACAAGAGATATTTGCTGCGTTTGAGCGTGTTGACACCCAAATGGGCCGCCCGTTAGCCTGCGCACCCTCAGACTGGAGGCCCAGATAAACAGCCTAATCAAAACGTCCGGCCTGCTCGTTTCTGCTACTGTAAGGAGTAAGGAAGAAGTCCTTCTAAAAAAAAAGGATGCAGAGATTAAAAAACAAACTACAAACCGGATTCACAAGGTTATTGCATCCGTTGCCAATACAACTAGACACGACCTGAACATGTTTATGCAACGTCTAAAATGCATAATATGATACCATTTTTTTTCAATTCTGGGACCATGGTTACCATGAGCAACAGACCATGTCGCTGTTTAGGCCTTTAGGGTAGGCAAATGTAGTGGTAGCCTGGTAGGAATGACCGAATTTTTTTTGGTTTTTTTTTGCCACGTCGGCGTCGATGTAGACGTGGCGGTCACATGGCAGCCACCTCGACGCCGGGGTCATTGGCACCGAGCTTGACGCCAAGATCTATGGCGCCGGGCTTGGCGCCAATGACCCCGGCGCCGATGTGGTGTTTTAACCAGCCGCCCAACCTTCCTGGCCGAGGCTTCTTCCTCTTCTTTCTCCTCCCTCTCGGGTTTTCTCTCTCCCCACTTCACCCTACCTCACGAATTGGCATATTGAACATTGGAAACTTTGATTTGATCCATAGATCTTCAAGAGTAAGGTATCCTCGCTCCCCTTCTAGTTTTTTTCTATCGATTCGGTATATATTAGTCGAATTTTTCAACCTAAAAATCGTCATTACTTAGGGTTTCATGTAATTTTTAATATTTGTATTATACAACCGTAGGATACCAAGGCGTGAAAAAGGTAGCAAACCAAGGTAACCTCAGCGCATGTTGTTATATTATGGGTTCATTGTTGTGGATCAAATGGGAAACCCTAGGTTTAGGGTTTAATATTAATTGTTTTCGGTTCTTAGAACGAAATTGGTTAAATTATAGTTATGGCCGGATGACTGAAAATACCTTCGACCCATTGCCTCTGCCTAGTGGTGTTCCAGTGTCCATGTGCTTTTGCGGCGATCCTTGCAAGGTAGCCAAGTCCGATGAAGAGGACACGTATAGGTAGAGGTATTGGATGTGTTCCAATTTTGTGTTTAAGCCTACACTTCGCCAGCGCCGCATTAACAAGATGGTGAGGAATTGATGTTGTGTAATAATTATTTTGTGTCATATGAAATCTTGCATGATTTTTTTGTTTTGTAACAATTGCATTTGTTGCAGACCCCTTCACCGCTCTGTGATTTTGAGCAGTGGATCGACACTGAGATCAAGCCTGAAGACGAGGAATGGATGCAGAACTGTTGCAGTGGGAGACAGAGGACAAAGAGATAATGGAGAAGAGACACAGAGATGAGGCTGCAGAAAAGGAGCACAATGAAGAAGAGGAAAGGAGGCGTGTTGCTGCGTACAGGGAGGAGAGAGAGAAGAAGCTTGAGCGTGCACGCCGAGCGAAAGCAGTGATGAAGGAAAATCCCGATGCCCTAAGGAAGGGAAAGTGGCCTCGTTGCACTCAATAGTCTCCATGACTTGTTAGTTTTATGGTTTATTCATGAATAATGTTGTCTACTGTTGAACTTTTCATTGTGTTGTCATGTAATGCACTTTAAGTATGGATATACTTAGGTCATGTACTGCGTTATTTAGTTTGTCGGCATGTACTTCTAGTATTATTGTGTTGTTTAATGTGTCATAGTATTGGACTTTTCATTATGTTGTTGTTTTCATTATCTGTGGTCATAATATTAAGTTTAATATTACGAACGTAGTGAAATGAGATCACGTACTGTAAATAAAACTTAACGAAGTAGGGCATTATATAATTCAACACGCACAACACATGAAATGGCATGTGAGAATATGTAACAAACTAGGGTACAGAGGTCTTGAACTAAACCTAACATACCTTAGTTAATTGAAGCGAACAACAAGCACACGAAATGGCATGTAAGAACATGTACCAAATAAGGATACATAGTTCCTCCGATTGAACCTAACATGCCTGGGATAATTAAACCAAACAACAAACACATGGATGTGTCATGTGAATAAGATAGGATCGTTCTAGTAGTGTGGCCACATAGCAAATTGTGTTGCACCTTCTCCACAGTATCCTCCCATTGTTGTTGGTGGTGGCGGTGGGGGTGACGGCGGAGGCCCCTTGTTTTTGTAATTAGGGCAGGTGTAATATGGATCATTGTAGAGTGTCTCCTGTGAACCTGCACCATTGTTGTTGTTGTTGTTGTCGTCTTCGTATTCCTTGTAACCGCTGCTAACTTCCCTTTCTAGATCGAAGATACGGTCCTGTAGGTAGTAGATGTACTGCTGATGCAGATAAATTGGTTGAGGATCGACTCACCTAGTGAACCCACAGTTTTCTTCGAACTCGGAAGACTACAATAAGTATGTCCTATGAGTTGTAAGGGTATTCGAGAAACATATTTAACAAACGAAATGTAATAGCAATTACCCATGCTCGTGGGCATTTGAAGAAGCGACGACCTCCATCGATCCCCTCGGTGAATATCTGCACTATGCAATCCTCACCATGCATGCATTTTGACCAATCTTTCTTCCAGTTATCGTATCCTCTGAGAGGTCACTCTTTAGTAAAATCACTCTTGCTCTCGGGAGAAAACTGATACACTGGTTTCTCAAAGAAATCAGGCCCAAGAGACCTCTCCCACACAATGGGAGTTCCCTTCGTCCTTCCTTTCCTCTCCCACTCTCGAAACCCTTTTCTCTAGATGACCCTCCAGACATTTCTACTCCAACGAAACTGGATACTAGTTTGGTTTGCTTTTGGTTAGCAATGCATCCTGGAATGCATATATATAGGCGGAGGCAGGTTTGCTAGCTGTTGTATCGTGTTCTAAATGCTCTTGAAAAATCTACTCAGAATCACTGAAAAGCCTACATTGAAGAACACCGGAGAGCCTAGATACAATCTAGTAACTAAATAGGTTAATAACTAAGTATATAGATATAATCTAGTAACTAAATAGGTAAATTCTACCTAAATAACTAAATATACAACTACCTATCTAACTATATCTATGTACCTATGTATCTTTATATGTATCTATCTACAATCACTAAGTCAATAAACTACCAACGTCATCACATTTACTAGTAAGTACCAAATAATCAGACTAAAGCTACAATTCAAACTAACTAAGTACCTACATTCACAAATTTTACCTGTCCGACGAATGCAACAAACAGAGCAGGCGACGTTGGAGGCGAAAAGCACTATCCAAACTTGCCGGCCATGGCGGGTGCTGCGGCCTTGCAGCTGGACACCAGCCCCTCCCCTCATCCCTTTCCAAGGGCCACTGCCCTCAGCACTTTGAGGGCCAGCGGCAGAGATGGCCCTCGGCCAGCGGCAGGGATAGGGTGGCTAGCGGGGAGGGGGCGGCTCGCGGACAGGGAGCAGGCGGACGGGGTCGTCGGCGACGTGAGCAGGCTGTCAGGGTCGTCGGAGGATGGGGACGGGCAGGCTGTGGCAAGCGTGGCGGGATGTGGCGCACGGTGGGGTGTGAGGTGGGCGCGGCGGAGAGGCCTACTGGCGGCGGGACGGCGGGCGCGGTGGGGACGGGCGAGCAGCGGGCGGCTCAGCACTCGGACGAGCGACAGAAAACGGTAGAGAAGAGGAAGACGAAGAAAGAGAAAGGGAGCCCACATGTAAGAAAGACATAGCGCCAAAAATCTTGGCGCCGAGCTCGGTACCAAGATTTACGGCGCCAAGCAGGTTGCCACATCACCGCCATGTCTACGTCGACATCGACGTGGCCCCAGCCGCTAGGCGCCAAATGCTCTGGCGCCGATATGTGTATGCACGACGCCAATTATGTCGGCGCCGAGGTGAGGGTCTAGATTTTGAAAGCATACCATCAGGGGCAGATTTGTGAAAAACTTTCAAAAAATGGCCAAAAAAACCAAAAAAAATCGGTAGGAATGACTCCATCCGTTCAAAGATCAGTGTTCTAAACGGTAACGGTAATGCTCAGGAGCGTGCATGTGTCCGTACGGATGCCGTTTTTCGGGTATGCGCGCTACCGGACCCACAGGCCTGCTTTCTCTCTGCGTCTCCCCATCTCTTTCAAAAAAATCTCCCAGTCGTGTGCTCGCCATCGGTGCTGCTGCGTCATTTGCTCGTTGTTGCCATCTTCCCCGCTGCGCACCCTATCCCACGCAGTGCGACTCCCCCATCCAGCATCGTGCTCCATCTCGCGCTGCGCCCCATCTGTCGCCGCGCTGCACTCCATCCCCGTCGTGCCCACTCTAGCTCGCTGTTTGCTGCACTCCATCCCCGTCGTCGTCGTTCCCCACCAGAAGGTTGTGGCCGCTATCGACACCGTGGCCACTGTGACGTGCGACCTCAGCAAGGAGATGTTTGCGATGAAAGCACATGTTGCAAGCGTATGTTTTAAGTGTTTCAGACATTTCAGAGGTACGTTGCAATTATTTCATATGGATGTTGCAAAAGTATATCACGGATGTTGCATATGTTGCAAGTGTTTCAGTGGCATGTTGCAAGTGTTTCAGAGGTTTGTTCAAAATGTTTCATTTGTTCTAGACGTATGTTGTAAGCGTTTTGATCTGGATGTTGTATATGTTTCACATATGTTGCAACAATATGTTCCAAATATTTCAATTGTTTCAGTCTTATGTTGCGGTAAGTGTTTGCATGTTGCAAGTGTTTTATCTGAATGTTCCATATGTTTAACACATATGTTGCAAGTGTATGTTTCAGATGTTTCATCTGTTTCATACGTATGTTGCATTCAAGTGTTTCATGCCGCATGTGTTTGTTCAGAGAGTCAGGGGTGCGGGGAATGATGGTGGCATGCCATGGGCGCCAAGGAATGGGGCGAGCTGGGGGGCCAGTGGACGGGGAGCGCGGCACGCCGGTGTCATGTGGACGCGACGCGCTCGGGGCCATCGAGGCGCGACGAGGGCGGAGTGAATGGCCTCGAATCGAGGCGGACATTACGTGCTGCGCATGCAAGGTGAGTCATCCGGACGCGCAGGCGCTGCAACGGGCCAGGGTGTGCGTGCGGGGAGGAAAAAATCAGCGAACGGGCAGACTGCGCGGGCGTCCGGACGCTAGCAGTGCCAAAACGGTAAACGGTCGAACACTCGGCGTTTAACCATTAGTTGGGCTAAACTGCTACTTAAACAAGCAAAACAATCGTTTAATAGAATTGACGGTTAATTAAACGAAAACGTGCGCCACCATGTTGCATTTTTTAAACGTATGTAAACAGCTAAACAACCGTTTAAGGAAACAATGCCGAAAATAGATTAATTTATAAATGTTGTCCTAAGTCAATCCTTTTTACGTTTGACTGAAATTATTGAAAAAGGCATCTGTAGCACCAAGTTTGAATTAGATAGACCCAATGTTATAATTACATAGTGTATTCATTTGGTGGTATAAACTAGAGTCTAGAGGTCTTCCGAGATTGGAAATAAAAAGTCACTCTTTTCAGAAAGACTGACAAAAATAACATTTCATCAAAAAGAAAACAAGAAAGAAAAAACATTTACATGTACCAACTGATGAACGAGTATTGATTGTACAGGACAGGTTTGCTGCTCCCATGCCACACCTTATTCTACGATTAAGAACATAAAATTGCAGCTAAAAGTGAAATTTTCATTTATTACCACTTTCTTGTACTAATAAATATATAGATAATACGTACAATATTGCAACTTGCAAGCATATTTTGAGCACAACGTTCAGTTCTTCACAGTGGTGACATGCCTCAGAAGCATCTGAATGACTTCTGGGGATATGCTTGCAGCCTGTTGATTGAGTTGTTCAATTTTTGTTGCTGTCTCTTCCTCAAGACGTTTAACATTTGCACCAGAGTCACCGCTGCTCTGGAAACAACAAATACATAAAACTCAGGCTCTGTGATCTTGTGAACATTCGAGCATGTTGGGCTAGTGACATACCTCTGCAACCTTTCTCTGGAATTCAGCCTCCATCTGGGCACGGTATTCAGCTATTTCCTCTCAGCCTCCTCCTTGGCTTGCCTAAGCCTTGCTGACTTAGCTGTGGAACACAGAAAATGTTACACTGCAGCCCATCAAAATCAATTATAATCACGGATATTATCTGCAGAAGCTGAACAGACATTTCTAGAGCAAGAGCTTTGCATTGGACCATGGTTATCTAATCAGTGAAGGACAAGTGATATTTTTCTGACTTGGATTATGCAAATTTGTACAGTTAACATGTGACTTTCCAGTGATATGGCATGGCGTAACAAGAGCAAGCCTGTAGACTAAAGCAAAAAAAAAAAAAAGGCAGTACACCAAAGCCAATTCTACAAACTAGATGCTGATCTCACTATAGCTCAGAATAGAACATGTTTCTACCTAAAATGTGAACATCCACATAAAGATTAATTGGTAGATCAAAATACAGGGATACTCTTATGCACAAGGTACTTGCTCTCGAGCATTATGATTGATTTGTAATATTTGTGCCGAAAGTAAGATAGTATTACCAGCCCTAGCTGCATTTACAATCTGCTGAGCCTCTTGCTCTGCAGCCAACAACTGCTGAATTCCACTCTGGCGCCTGTTCGCATCCATCTTTCAGCTGCTGCGTCAAGGAATAAATCCAGAATCAACAGAACTTTAGGTGAAACCGACCTGAGATCAGGGTGGAGCCAGCAAAGGACATGGGCGTACACATGTGCACAAAATATTTTTTTAGAAAAAAAAAATGATTGAAGTTAGTAGGCACAATACATGTATGTACGTGTAAGTAGATCAGACCCAGATAGCCAGGTTTTTGTTTTTTGAAACGAAACAAGCAGGAGAACTACCGAATATATTAAAAAGGAGGAGAAGCCTAGGCTAGGCAGTACAACATAGCAACTAAACCCCAAAGAGTCAAGCAACAACAGCTACTAGAAAGCAACGAAGCAAAACTAAACAACCATAAGCAACAAAACCAACAACAGCCGGTTAGACCAAGACCTCAACTCGTGCCACACAACACTATGGCACCACTGCTCTGTCACTATACCAGGCACTGCAGACTGAGCCATGACCACTACAGAAGCTCCACACTACCGCCCTGCCAGTCACCACAATGCACCACCATCATCATTGAAAGATGAAACCATCAAATCGACATGCCATCATCATTACTTTCGCCATTGTTACTGACAATGTCCCACACCGAGCCAGCCGCTGTCATGCAGGGCTAGCCGTCGCAGACCGCTGCACACTGTGTAATCCCCGTGCCATCGTCACCGCTTGCACCGTCAATCGAGCTGTCCTACACCAGACTACCCCTTTCAGGCAGAGTTAGCAGCAGCAGTCCGCTGCAAGCCACCAAGGCGATACCTAAGTGCTGCATCTAGCCATTACAAAGCTGACCGCGTCTTTCGAGATCCAACAACTACAACAACAATGCACACAACCAAGGCACCGTGACATAGATATCAGCTGCGTCAAGCTTGCTGTGTCCAACTGCCCTCATAGGCCCTCCTTGGGCTTGAGTGGTCACCACAATGCGTGACCGCCCACCGCCACACCACACAAGCTGATGTGGCAATGCTCCTGCTGGCCACCCCGTCCCACGCCGGTCTCCCACCACTGGAACCTAGCCTCACCGTGTCATCACCCATCAACTGCCACACAGAGCTTTTGCACCCCGTCCACTACGCCTACGCCCTCCTCATTGCTGCTCTCCGCCAATCTATGCCCACACCCTTGACATGGCAACCAAGCTACCACACTGTGCAAGGTGCACCCAACAACTCCCTCGTTGCCATCCACACTTCAAAGCTCCTTCCACCACCAGTGCAGCTTCTGCTGCCACATCCCTGATGCTGAAAACACCAAGCATTGCCACAGCCACCCACCGCAGCCTCTGTGCTGCCGAGCCACCACACGGCCCTCACGCCGCCGTGCATCCACGCGCAAACGCCACCAATGCAACATCAGCGTGCTTAGTAGCACCGCGGACGCGCAACCACAGGCGCCACAACGGCCAACCATGCAGGCCGCCATGCCTCCGTGGCCACCAACTTGCCGCTCTCCTCAGCAGTCTCCTCAAGCAGTCGATGCTGCAGTGCTACGCCAACGCACGCGCCTCCTTCGTAGCTCCTGACACCCCTCACTGCCGCCCTGTCGCCGCCGGCCTCGCCATGCCGCTACCTTCGCAGGGGCCCAACCGGCCGGATCCGAACGCCGGCCCACCAGATTCGCCCTCCCCCGGTGTGGATCTGGGTCGTCGCGAGCCGCTGCCGCCCACACGCAGATCGCCTCCACCGCGCCGGACGAAGCTCCGTCACCACTACACGCCGAACCGAACACCGCGGCACCACCCAAAGCGCGCCCACATGCGGACACGCCGCCCCTCCGAGTCGTGCGTCTGTCTGCCGCGCGCGCAGGCCGCTGCGGGCGGCCGCCGTTGCCGGTTGCCGCACGCGAAGGCACCCGATCTGACAAAACGAGAGGGAAGGAGAAAGTGGGGATGGGATTTGCCCTGTCGCCGCCGTCATTGCAGCCGCACGGACCTCCTGCGGCGTGCTCGGGTGACCGCAAGACGGGAGAGGGGTGAGGAGCTGGAGGTGGCGGCGCCGGATCGGGAGCCGCCCGTGTCGCCTGAGAGCGTGCGACGCGGCGGCAAGAAGTAACACGAATCGAATAGCCATGGTTTGGGTGCACGGTTTCGCGCAGCGGGAAAGGGAGAGAAGGGGTGGGCATACCTGGTGGGCGCTCGTCGCTGGCGAAGGGCCCGACGAAGACCTGGGCAGATGGCGCAGGGATGCGGCGGCGGTCGTACAGTCGTCGGGTCGTCGCCACTCGTCGGCACTAGAAAGAAAGAGAGGACGCGCGGTCGCGCGCAAGGCGGGGTGAACGGGAGAAGAAAAGCAGTCCAGTCCGGGTTCGTTAAGGTCACGTATAGCTGTAGGAATTTGCCTGCTCTGGTTGATCAGATGATCCAGTCGGACGTTGGAACGGATCATCCGCGACTCTGCCTGAATATCTTCTCGTTTTTGTTTTCTGAATTTTTTCCTTGTCTCTACCAGAGAACTAAAAATACGATTGCCTTTTCGTGCACAACAAATAGCAGTCCATCTACCGGACTTTGTGAAGTTGCCAATTAGACCTATTCAGACCGGTGGATGTGGATCACACAAAACTTGCTCCAACCCTATTTCCTCTGCCATTCCCATTGGAAATTGCAATAAAAATAGAAATATAATGAATGCATCAAAAAAGCATCCCGTTTTTGGTCTCTCTCCGCAGATGGCAAATATATAGAGCTTGTTCGTTTGTTGGTTTCTGGGCTGATAAGTCTGATCGGTGCTGATTTGTTGGGAGATAAAAACACTGTTGGCTGACTGATAAGCTCTGGCTGAAACCAATAAGCGAACAGGCTGATAGTGGAAACTGAACGGCAAGAATTCATCAGAAACTGATCATGGTTATGACTTATGAGACGAGTAAATCGTCGTACTCAGAACCAATAGAAACCATCTTATCTAGAAAATCGAACCAGATTACAACGGACCGAAATCAGAACCAATATAAACGGATAGCCAAGAAACGGGTAACCTTTCTCATATCAGAGCTACATATACATAACAGTGAAACACCCACACGCTACTTGTCAACTTTAGGTGTCGGTGTCCTGTTAACATGAAACAGCCTTTCGCTGGCTGGTTTCAGCCAGGGCTTATCAGTCAGTCAATAGTATTTTTCTCTTACAATAAATCAATACCGGTCGAGCTTATCAGCCCAAAAACAAACCAGCGAACAGGCCGGAAGACTGAAACTTTTTTGTAAGTTCATGAAACAACCGGAAGTGAATGTGGAGAGGCAATAAGCAAGAAATAAGACCTACAGCCACCCTGCCTTTCCATGTCCTAAACGGCGTCGTGGTCTACTGCCCGCCGTCACCCCTGCCATGCCCCGCTGCCACCAATGCATCTTCTTGCCCCGCACCCGGCTGGCCTTCCTCCTCAGTTTCATACCTGCCGGTGCCCTCCGCTTGCCCTTCAAGTGCCGCTGCACCGCGTCGAATAGCGCGTGCATGTTCCCGTCACCGCCGCGCCTCTTCTCCGGCACGCCTACTGTCAAGGGCGGTATGCGGCAGGGACGCCGGGCCTCGACTACGGAGCTCGTACCCGCGCTCCGTGGTAAACACGACGGGGTTATGCCCCCACGTCGCTCAACACTCGCCGGGTTTTGCCCCCAGGCTCGTGGCTTAGAGAAGAGGTAGGAGATTAGATTGAATGATTCTTCCTTCCTCTCTCCATGTGCGGTTACAGGAATATATGGCCTCCGGCCCAACCACTCTTCCTAAAATTAAGGACTGCCAAAGGAAAATAACAAAACAAGGAAACAACCCATTACTCTCTTCCTTCTAATCTTAGCCACTTGACGTGATCACCTGCTGACTCAGGCGTGTTGCTCGATCAGCAGCGCGGCGCACATCGCGTGCCCTGCGATGCCGCGTGTACGTGTGCCCGTACATTACACCTACCACCGTCCGGCTCCTAGCGTTCTTATCTTTCCCTTTCGCGCGGTGGAACATGCTCGTAAAGTACTGCCACGGCGTGTTGAAGTGGCCTGCGCCGCGGACGACGCTCCTGGACGAGGGGCCCGCCTCCTGGCCGCCCCCAAGGTGGTGGTGATGGTCGTGGCGGTGATGGAACACCGTGGCGATTTTGTGCTTGAGCATCTGCAGCCGCGCCAGCCGCTTCTCCAGGATTTCCTGCCGACGTCGCCGCCTCATTGAGCGCGACACCTTAGGTGCATACACCGGCGGCGCAATGCCCCGTGTCATCACCGGCGGCGAGTAGTAGTAGTAGGGATTAGCAAACGCATGCGGCGCCGGCGACGCCATCGGGCTCGTGGAGGCAGACAGGCTGGCGGCGCCCGATGAGCTTCTGCTGCCGCTGGACATGCTGCTGCTGTACATGTCCGCGCTGGAAACGTCGCTGCCTTGTTGCCTCCGGCGCGAAGTCCTCCTTTCTTCTGCTGCAGATCGGTGTAGGGAGCCCTCCTTGAGAAGATTGTTGCTTGGTCTGATGCGGCTCTGTATGGTTGCCATCGTGTTGCTCGAGGAAGAGCGTTCCGGCGTAGCCACGCCGCGTTCGGCGTGCTCCACACCATGACGCGACGTCATGCTCAGGGACAACCCAGAGTCCATCCTCTCGAAGAGATGCACCGAGGACGAGGAGGAGCTCTCGGCTTCGACGTACCGCGGGGTGGCGCGGCCATGCAGCCTTGACGACGGCCCCAGAGACAGCTCCCGTAACACGGAACGCCGGCTGCTGCTCCTACTGCTGCTGCGTTCTGGCGACCATTGGTCACCACGGCCGGAGCTGCGACGGATGCTGTCCCGGCGATCGGCAAGCCTAGTACCTCCAGTCACCGTGCCATGTCTCGACGTTCCAGCTGCGGGGAAACGGTGGAGGCTGAGGCTGGAGTGCCGCTGCTCTTGGCTTGGACGGTGCCGTGCCGGCAATGCGGTTCTCGACGAGTGCTTGGAGGCGAGGCGAGCAAGGGGATGCTCTTCCGCTGCATGGCGATGGCCGTCGACGTGGAGGCCAGATCGGCTTGACACTGTAGAATGTTGCAGGTTTAGCCGGCGCGGTCGCTCACTGTCCAGGAGGCTGGGTCTGGGTGATGCCACCGGCCTCAGGCGCGGATCGGCATGCCGTGTCCGGCAGAAGCGTGGAGAGCTTTCTCTCTAGCACAGGGGACACTAGAGAACCTGATAGCATCTGCAGAAAGGCACATTTTAAATTTGATTAGCATTGGCATTTGACCAGAAAATAGAGCTGTAGGTGTGGCCGTCTGTAATTAATGGCACAAAAAGCAAACAGGTTACCCTTGCCTGGCTCCGGACAGCCTCCTGGGTAGCATCTTCTAGTATCTTCATCAGAAGAGCCCCGGATGCCTCATCTAACTGCACAAAAGTAAGAACAAATTAAACTTGCGATTGTTTACATTAATATCACAGAAAAACCTCGCAGAATAAACACTGAAAGGGCTTGGTTCGCTTTTTGCTTCAATGTTGTCTCATCCTTGCAGTTATTAGATATTGAAAGTAGAAGTGTAGAGCTATTGCTTCGGTTTACCATGCCTAAACTTGGACCCCGTTCGCTTTGCTGAAAAGCCATGGTTGAAAGTACCGTTCGCTGATTTGTTGTAAGAGAAAAACACTGCTCGTTCGTTGAAATAGTACGGCTTATAAGACAAGCGAACATGACCTTAGTTCTTTCATTCTTCAGATAGAACACAGTTTGTACTAAAAAAAAGAAATCTATTCCGGATTTTTCTCACTTCTCCACAAGACATATAGCAGCGAAGCCATAAATAAATTTCTTACATTTTCATCTGCCGGACCCTTGTGAAGCAGGCTGTATAGCTTCGTGAGCGCCTCCAGATCAGACAAAATTTGCTCCATCTCTGTTCCTTCTGGAAATTCCATTTCAAAATCAGAATAAGAAATGAATAACTAAACTCATTGTCACATAGACATGTATCTTTCTCCCCCTTTTTCCCCAAAAGGTAATTTCATTTCAAAATCAGAATAAGAAATGAATAACTAAACTCATTGTCACACAGACATGTATCTTTCTCCCCTTGTTTCCCCCAAAAGACAGCAAAAGGCAAAGATTGGTTTAGCAACTAACTGTTGTTAAGATCCATTTTCCTTGGAGACGTCAAACCAAGAGAAAACCGAATCACCGAATCAGAAGCAGTAGTAAGAGCCTGCAAAATGTTGTACGATAGGTAAGGTACTCCTTAAAAAATTGCTGAGAAGATGACGCAGTTTACAAGTAATGGCACGGTAACAAATTACATTTGCCTGCTTCAGGAGAGCCTGGCATGTAGCATCATCAAGCAACTTCTTCAGAAGGGCCCTGGACGTCTCATCTAACTGCACAAATGTAAGACCAAATTAAACTTGCCATCATATGCTTCAGAATTGCAAACATATTTCTCTACCACCACACACCCAAAAAAATGGAACTAAGACATCAAAATCATAGCGCTTCCTTTTGAGTCATTTTTTTAACTGGGTCAATTTTGCCTCATCCTTGCAGTTAGATCTTTCGTCTCCTGATATATGTGGACAGAGCTTTCTAATAAAAGAACGAGATTTGTTTTTGACTTGTTCTCACCCTTTGAAGCAGCCCGTATAGCTTCTTGAGCGCATGCAGATCAGACAACGCTTTCTCCATCCCTGTTGCTTCCGGCACTCCATCTGAAAATTACAGTAAGAAATTGTAGATTAAGCCCATCGTCTCCCATTCCCCGAAAGGAAAAAAAAAAGTAGAGACAGCAAAGACAGCAAGGGCATGTTTGGTTCTAAATAAGTCACCTACTTATAAGTTAAAAAGCGAAAAAGTGACTTGTTTTGCCAAACACCACCAACTTATAAGTCACCCCTGCTTATAAGTTTTAAATTGGTTCACCCCTGCTTAAAACTTATAAGTCATCCTTTTCGCGTGGGGCCCACACCTTTAATGAGCTTATAAGTCATCTACAACCAAACATGCATGACTTATAAGTCACTGATTTTCAGTCACCTGACTTAATAAGTGATCGAGCGGAAACTTACCGTCACAATGTTTTATCCATCTTCCTTGTTGTGGAAAAAACGAAACCAAGAGAAATGGAAATAGAAATCAGATTCCGTGCGGTAAGGAACTTTGAAAAGGTTGCTGCGGTAAGAATGCAGAACAATGGCGTGCGGTTCCTCCTCCACTTTGTAAGTTTGCTCCTGTGTATTTCTGTAACTCTTGTGCTACCTTTTTAATTCATTTTATTCCAGTAGTAGGGGCCCAAAACCCCTCCTGTTTCTAAAAAAAAAGTATGTACGACCAAGTGACGAAGGGGCAGGGACTTCTGCTGGCGACCGTATACCCCGACCCCGGGCCTTGCTTACATACACCAAGAAGCCCAATTAGTCAAGTTGGAAATATGTATGGGCGGCCCAAACCCACTACGATTGTTTCGTGTATCAATGTAGCCTTTCAGTGCCACCGGCCTTGCCGGTTCTTCCTGTATCATAAACTCATTCCTTCTTAATATCAATGATACGTAGCTGAGAAAAAAAGAAAGAGGAAAGCTGTTTTTTTATATATTTAAAAAAAAGATTGAAGAGAGCTGTTGAGGCTTGCTTGATGCTATCTCTTCCAGCCGTGAGGACTACTCCCTCCGTCCCTAAATGTTTGTCGCTTTCGCTTCCCGAAAAACAACTTTGACTAAATATATATTAAAAATTATTAATATTTATGATACATAATTAGTATCATTGGATAGATATTTGAATTTAGTTTTTTAATAAATTTATTTAGAGATAGAAATGTTGCACGTATTTTTTATAAATCGAGTTAAAGTTATCGGAACGTAAATCGTGACGACTAACCTTTAGGGACGGAGGGGGTCCAAGTTTGATCCTGAAGCAGGTGTTTGGCAGACAAAAGGTAAGGAAGGAATCCAGTATTTATTCTAGGGGTTGAACTGATGGAGGAGCAAGGGAAGCAGTAGCGCTAGCTAGGCCTGAGCGTTCGGTTTTACCGAACCGAACCGATCGGTTCTTCGGTTTTTGAGGAAGTTCGGTTCTCAAAAAACTCGGTACCGATCGATTCTTCAAAAAATTCGGTACCGACCAAGTTCGGTTTCGGTTAGTTCGGTTCGGTTCTCGGTTTCATCCGAACTAACCGACCAATTATTGAACAGGTTACATTAGAAAAATTCAGCAGTATTTTGGCTGTTTTCAAGGCATAAATGACATGACAACATATGCAAATCAATAAGTCACAACCAAATAACTACAACCAACATATCAGCACATTCACAAATCACAAGTTCACAACTCAATTACTGATCTCTTGGTACCAATTTACAAGTTTCTCCCATCGGTTTTGGTTCTTCGGTTATTTCGGTTAACCGAGGGGAGGAACCGATTTAAAGTACAGATAACCGAAATTTCGATTCTCGGTTCTAGATAAAATTTGCCCCAGGCTAGCGCTAGCGCCGGCAGGAAGGGAGATAAACACAGGCTGCATGCACAGGACAGAGACGCCACAGCAACAGCCTTCTGATTCTGCCCTTCCCTGCAAGCGAAGCGACTTCTTCGTCAGACATCAGAAAAGCTATTCCGCCACATCGATATTGCTACCACCGTAGGCGCTCCCTGTCTTCTCCCACTCGTCCTGTGGTTGCCCCTGATCCTCCCGGCCGCCATCGATCCAGATCGAGAGAGCTAACGATGTCGTCGTCCTCGTCCAAGTCTAACTTCTTCGGTCGCGCGTGGGACAGAGCACGCGGTAACCACGTTTCCCTGCCCTGCACGCGCATCTCTCGCCATCGCCATTTCTGCAACCTCGTGTTACATTCTTCGTCTCTCTGCTCCGCTCTGGTCATGAGAAATGTGATGGTTACCGTCGCATCGAGTTCATCCATCCTGACGCTGCGTTCGCTTGCAGGCAAGACTGATGTCGAAAGAATTTGCAAGAAAGTCTTCGAGGACCTGGCGGACAAGAACACGGGGCTCCTGGACATCAACTCCCTCCACGTCGCCACCCTCATGGTTTACAAGTGAGAATGCCGTTGCTTAATAATCGCTTCAGTGCTAGATCGCTAATCTGTCTATGTGCTGACTGCGCTTCCCCATTTTCGATTACGGCTTTTGCCAGTTCAATCAACAAGCAGTTAGTCGGCCCTCACAAGGATCCTCCCTGCCTGAACACCATCGCCGAGAAAATGAAGGTATGGTTCCAAGTTTCGCTATGCGACGTACCTTTCGCTGGCCGGAAAGCCTCTCCCCGGCGGGCGGCGAGGTAGCAGGGGGGACCGAGATTGCGAGGGAAAGAACGTTTTTTTTTCTAGGAAAAGGAAGAACCGGCAGTTGTCTGCGCCGTCGGTGTGGGCGTCGGTGAGGGAGCGGCGCACACGGTACTCGAGAGCGGGCAGCGCAGGGGAGGCGCGTGGCCTGGCGGAGGAGCGAGAGTGCGGCGGCTCGAGAGCCGGCGGCGCAGGGGAGGCGTGCGCCCTGGCGGAGGAGCGAGAGGCGGCCTGGCGGAGGAGCGAGAGGGCGGCGGCTTGAGAGCGGGCGGCGCAGGAAGGCGCGCGGCCTGGCGGAGGAGCGAAAGGGAGGCGGCTCGCAGTGGCGTGCCCAGTCTTTGGAACTTGGTATTCAAAATAGGAACAAAAAAATAAAATTTGGCAACCTATAACTAGTACTACCTCTGTCTAAAAAGAATGGGTTACATGCCATGTAAAAGTGGTTCACGCTAAATTAAGTTTCTAGTAAATAATATTCACGTTTATAACTTTAAATTATTATGAAAATACATTTTGTAATTAATCTAATAATATTTATTGATATCATAAATATTGATATTTTTTTATCTATAGATGGTTAAACTTAATATACCAAAACGTGACACTGGGCTTTGTTTTTTTTTTTTGGGACGGAGGGAGTATTTCACATGTATAATAGTATAATACCACATAGACGTAACTGGTTAATATATAAGAAATATATAACACATAATTGACCATGATTTATATATTCATAGAAACCCCTCAAATCTGTAGCACCGCCCTTTTTCTCTTCATGTTTGAGGGAATTACAGAGGCACTGACTTAGACAGTCAGACTCCCCTGTTCCTAGTTTACAAGTGATTAATAAATTGCGATCCACAATGTATCGAATGAGATTATGGGAAGCCAGTAGACCAAATTTTAACTTACAATTTGACTTCTGAAGCCTCAATCGGTCAATCCAAAAAGCTTCATGCCATGTGCGGCTGTGCTGTGCATCCCATGCCCATGGTGCCAATGCGCACACCGGGTCACAGCCTCACCGGCCTTCCGTCCACAAGGGCGCGAGGCCGCGAGCGCCACGCCGACGCACCCTTGCCGGCCACTGGGGCGCTAGAGTCACGAGTTCGCCGCTCGCCGCGCCAGGGTTTGGAGTTTGGGAAAATGAGAGACGGGGAGTCTTTTTTTTTTGTTAGCATGGTCCAGTTTCGGCTGTGTTAAGTCGATCTCTTTCGACGCTCAATAGAAGCGCGTTGTATATTTTTTTAAACTCTTCTCCTTAATACAATGATACGTAAATCTTTTACGTATTCAAGATGAAAAAAAAGAGACGGGAAGAGAAAAGAAACGGCGCTTGAGCGTGATTGCGTGAGTGGCTGCCTGGCTGATGCCTCGCAATGTGAACGGGGAATTCCCCGTCGAGGGTTACTGCCCCATCCCCATCCCCGCGGGGGCAAATTTTCCCCATCCCCGTCCCCGTGAAGGCTCATGGAGAGCACTTCTTCCCCATCCCCGCATCAACTGCACACCCACGCTGCTGCCATCCTGGATTTCCGCACCTAGACGCGCCGCCGCCGACGAATCCGCACCTAGAGGCACCATCGGTGGAGCCCATGCAGCCGGATCTGGTGGAGGCGGTGGAGGTCGAGAAACGCCGCCACTGCTTGCTGTATCGGGCGCGTGTGGCCCCCGCTGCTGGATCCGCTCCTCGTGCTGGATTTGCCTCCTCGCCGCAGATCTGCCGCCTCCATTGCTGGTGCGCCCTCCGCGCCAGGGCCTCCGCCTCCAGGGGCCTCTGCCGCGGCGTCGACGGGCTCGGGAGGGAGCCGCGCCGCAGGAGGGAGATCAAGGGTCGGTGAGGCCGCGCCATCGACGGGATCTGGAGGGAGCTGCGCCGTAGGAAGGAGAGGGGTGGCCTCGGGAGGGAGGAGGAGGACACCACCCGCCGGATCCGGGAGGGAGGGAGAGCCTCCCTGCGTCGTCGTTGATGAGCGGGCAGTAAGCTAGGGTTTGGGGTGCATGGGAGAGGGAGAGAGCAGGAGAGCTAGGGTTTGCGAGGCGGGTCGCGTGCTGCGCTGTGCCGTGCTCCGGATCCGGCCGCCGGGATGGGGAGAGGAGGGGGCGCTACCGGGATGGAGAGGAGATCCGTGCGCGGCGCCGTGCTCCTGATCCGGGAGGCCTCGCCGCCACGAGCCCTCGCCGGAGGGGAGGGGGGGCACCGCTGCCCGCTATCAGGGGCGTGGGGGACGTGAGGGAGAGGGAGGCATCGGGTCCCCACGGTGAACGGGGACGGGGGCATGCATACCATCCGTCCATCCCCGTCCCCGTCATACCCGACGGGGATGATTTTTTCTCCATTTAAATCCCCATGGGGAGAAAAATTATACCATCCCCGTCCCCTAATGGGTGAGTTCCCCGCGGGGAATCGGGGAACGGGGCCCCGTTGACATCTTTACTGATGCCGATATGCCTGTTCGCTACCTGGTGGGGCAGAAATTGGGCCTTACTAGGCCGTCGGGTTGGGAGAGAGAGAGAAACAGGAGAGAATGCATGTTTCATCCTAGTTCTTTTTTGGGCCCTACTCGGCCGTCCGGGTAGTGAAAGAGATCAGCCCATCAAAAACTAACTAATCCATCGCTTGCTCTCCGCCAAAAAAAAAAAAACTAATCATCGCTTGTTCCCTCTGACCGCAACTGCAGGAATGCCGGTACCGCGACAAGAAAGCGATACTGTTCACGGAGTTCCAGGAGCTGATCCTCGAGTGGGTGCACAAGGACCTGCGGCTGGTGCTCGCCAACAAGGCCGCCGTCGCCATCCTGGGCGCGCCGCTGCTCGCCGTGACGGCCAAGAACGCCGCCAGGCAGGTGCCGAGGATAAGCGACGCCGTGGAGCAGGTGCCCACGCCGCTGCTCGCCACCGTCTTCTCCATTGGGCTCATGCTCCTGCAGGACGTCCGGCTGGGCAAGCAGAGGGAGTGAACCGATCACCGGAATCGACTCAAGAGTCAAGGCGCTGGAGGTTTCGCTTTCACTGACTCACGCATATCAGGATATGGTCCCATTATATTGCTTTTGCTGCTGTGTGCTGATAGGATCAAAGTCTGACAGAGAACGATGTACTATTGATTAAGTTATTAAAAGCGATTGGCATCTGAAGTGCACGTATTCAAAAATGGTTGCGATGGCGTTCGTTCCAATGCAAAGTGTTATCGGGAAGTATATGGTTTGAAGCGCGGGTGCCCACTGCATAGCGTGAAGCATTGGAGCTATGAGCTATCGTAGTGGCATTTTAAGCAATGCCATCCTGCACAGAGGATAGTAGGCTATGAGCTTCTCTTTTTTCCTGTGAAAAAGTAGCGCTAGCTACAGTCTGCCGCCCAATTAAGAACAGGAAACGTACCACAAAATCCACCAAAACCAAGGGCTAGGATGGGCAAAGTACAATCACGAATCAAAGAAAAATGATTTGTTATATGACACCCGGGCTTTGCCGCTTTGGCTTCTGGTGAGATCGGCCCAACTAGCTGTACCTCCTCAGTCCTCATCATACTCTGTAACTAATAGTGCCCAGCGTTCCAGCAGCAGATAGAATAGCTCGTTCAGTATTCGACAAAGTTTACAGTCTTTGAATGTTTTTCTTCTTGTTTTTGATCTACCCAAAAACTGTTGATGGCATCCGCAACACCATAACATGACACGTACGGTTATTAGTCCGATCGAGTTCCACTCAAGGAAGCTACAGAATTCACCTACGAGGCACAGTGTTCACTGTCTTACCTTGTCAATATAATTAGTAATAATAAATATAATGCTGCTGATGCCTCTTGGTCCAAGGTAGCAGTTGAACTGTTGAAGCATCATCTTTTACAGGCCGCACAGAAACTGGATTGAAGATTTTCACTTCTTCAGGATCTCTTCAATTTATTTATTTATTTATTTACCCCAGATGCTATAGTTTACTGAAAAAGAGGCCTTTTCCACGATGGAAATACTGGCAAGTTCAGTTCAGCATCACATCACACACTTCATCATTCCCAAAATGACAAGGGGGTGGGGTGGCTATCAAGCAAACACAGAACAATAAGAGATTTGGTTCAGCATGCAGAAGACTCGACAATGCTCATGCTTCGTGAACGGCATTCGACGAGCAACACAAACCATGATTCACCGTCAGCACCTGCTGCACTCATGTACTGTTACTCTTTGATCATGTTACCTTTTTTTTCTCCTTGTGTTCACCTGCACACAAACTAAATTGTGCCACATGGTCTTGTCGCCACTGCATTGTGGTTTTATGATTCACACATGAATAAGCTGTCTCAGTCTTTTGATTTCTACCAGGTTGGCCACACAAGCAAAAATATGCCAGCAATAAAGTATCAAGTTCCTGGTTATCCAATCATTTAGAAGCAATAAGATGTTGAAGCACAATAAATAAATAAGCAAATAAATTTATATAGGAAGAACATGGAACATATGAAGTTGCAATGATCTGATTTCATAATGCTAATTTTCTTGAGGCTAGATCTTTTAACAAGGAAAGGAATGTGCATGTCAGGATTTCATCACAAGCAGGAATTCTGGAGCCCATAGTCACAGATCAAGTCAGACAATGTAGAGATTAACAGCTTACATACAAGCCCGACAGAACCAACGATAAAGCTAAAAGGTTCAAGACAAACTGCTACTTGAAAATCACAAAAGCCCAAGTCCAGCACCAATCTCACTGATGCAAAAAAGTGTTGTCCCACCATAGACCTCGTGCTACTTACTTGAGAACCTCACATAAGCACCTTAAGCTTTTCATGCACTTGAGCCACCAGCACTTGGTCCGTCACCAGTACCGTCTGCTTCCAATGCTACAAAAATTTATAAATTTTGAGAACAACATCAGCTGATTGAGGACTCAAATTTGCCCTGGATGAACCCTTATTGCTTGCCAACAAAATAACACTACTTCATTATTCACAGCAACAACAGTTAGCATCATACTTGAACAAACTCAATAAGATAACTGCCTCCCTAAGTTTAGCACTGACGTCACCATCCATTGACGGATGAGGGCTACGTATGAACATGATTAGAGATAGGCACAAGGCATCTGAAGTGTAGAAGCTCACCCAAGTAATTACTTTTAAATTTTCACTCCAGCTACATATTTACCTTCTTGGCTCAACATAGATCAATAAATTCATAGTCATATTTGATTAGTTTCAAAGATTGCCCATAATAAAAACATTGAAGTATGATCAACCCAGTTAGATATAAGAATGCACCTTCATAAATACAATATTGTAGAGCCTATTGCACCTTGAACATTGTAAAATCAAAAACTAAGTAAAGCTGTACCTGGAGTGTAGAAGCTCATGTACGGAACAATGGTGTTGATTTGGCCCTGGCATACCTTCTTCCCCTTATAGGTCTTCAGATCAATTGCATAGATCGCATTGCCCGCTCTCATGAAAAATGATACCAAGATCATCCGTGGAGCCAACCAGTGAGGTGAAGTCGGCATCAACAGGGAGCAGCATCTTAAGCTCCTCAATGACTCTGCTTTGTTCCCATCTAGCATCTACTTCATCAGCATCCTTCCTCGACCAGACATAGAGTTTGGACTCGTGTTCAGTGGCGAGACCCAGTCCACCATCCTCCGTTGTTGTGAGCAGAAGCCGACGAAGGGGCACTGAAGGTGGCAGTTGAATCCACGACATTTGGTGCGATTGCATGTTGTACGTGAGAGCTGTCCTTTCCTCCATGAAGCCAAAGTAGAGCGCATTCCCCACAAGCGCACTCCTCATGCGAGGATCGACTAATCCTCGGATGTAACCAGCAGGTAGCTGATCGCAGATTGGCTCACTCCAGGCAGCGACATCAGATGAGTAGGTGAAGATTAAGGTCTCCACTACACCAGCGGTCCCAAAAGCAGAGCGCACAACAACCACGATGAAAGGTCCGTGGTGGCAATCAAGGTGGTCGCAACCGCCGGCGCCGGCGGATGAACAGAGAACTGCTGCAGTCCAGGTCAACGGCCCCATGTACTGCGGCGGAGACCGCGGAAGGGGCACTTTCCGCGCCTCGTCTGTGATGGGGTTCCAGACGACGAGGGCCCTGCGTTCCCCACGGAGGAGGACACGGACGTGGCGGGCGTCCAGTACGCGCTTGTGGGCGCGCTCGGCATGACACGGGCGGAAGGCGGTCGTGGGCTCGAAGTGGCGGTACACGCGGCTGCAGCCGCTGCAGAACATCCCCAGCATCGGCGGGGTGCGGTGGAACTCGCCGAAGCGGCGGCGGAAGCCGGGGCCAGAGACGAGGGGGCGCCAGCGCTTGCAGACGAGCGCGGTGCGGAGGAGGCTCGCCGGTTCGCCGGGCGGGAAGCGGAGGAGGATCTCCTCGATGAGCTCCTCCGGTAGGGCCGCCGGCGGTGGCGGTGGCGGCGGCGGCGAGAAGGAGGGCCCGGCCCCCAGCGACGACGCGGAGGAGGCCGCATTCGCCATGGGCTAGGGTTCGGACGCTTCCGGTGGGCTTGGATTTGGGCGACGGCGCGTGGAACGGAATGGATTCTTCGGGAGCGGGCGGACGAGGAGACGAGGGACGGGTGGGTTTTTTTTTTTAATTTTAACACTTTTTAAAACTAATTTTAAATACGGCAGATTTTTTTTAAAAACTAACACTTTTGGCCGCGCCTATTGCCCTGGCGCGGTCAAATGCCTGTGCCGCGCCATACATGGTGGCGCAGCAGAGGGCTGACGTGGCACGGTCCCGAATCGTTGACCGCTGACGGGGCAGGGGCTGCCGCGCCACCGATCTTGGCGCGACAACTCGCCGCTACCGATCCGTGACGCCGCAGAGCGAATAAGACCCCACCGACCCGTGTCCGCCAATGCCGTGAAAGACGTCGTTGTTCGAAAGTATGACAGCGCCGCCGAAACACGCCGGCACCCACACCGAACGCCGGCAATTTCCCCCGCCTCCCTCCCTTCCTTTCCATTCCCCGGCCGCCTCCCTCCCTCTTTGTCCTCGTGCAAGGTAATGACGCATATTTTATTTTCGTTTGAATGGTGGATAGTATATTATGAATAGGAGCTAAGTTTAAGAGGAAAATTATGTTTGCGAACTATGGTCTACGGTTTGAAGGAAGATATTAGTTTGATTTTGTCAATGTTAAGGTTAATTATTTAGTTAGAAGTATGTTTACCATGTCTATATTTGTTGCTATAATTGTCGGTTATATTATTTTAGTTGCATTGCAAATGATTATATTTTACATTAATTTGCGTTATTTTGATTAATGTTTAATTTGAACCGTTTTATTAGATGGAAGACATGTTTCAGGAGTAGTTATGACGAAAACGGGGTCGTCCTAGAGAATTGTACCCCGACGAGTAGCAAAGATGCCCCCGTCTCTCCTAAACTCCCTGTCCCTAACTGTGACTGTGGTCGTCCGGCCGACCTGTTTTAATCGAGACATCCGGACACAGCGGCTCGTTGCTTCTACACGTGCAGTCGTTTTAATGTAAGTAATTATTTCCGTATATTTTTTTTCTTCATTTGTATTACTAGGTTACTAAAATTTTATTGAATTTTTGTTGTGTAGGCCTATGATAGGTGATTTTTCTTTTAGTGGATCGACGGTACAGACAAGTTTGACCCCAGGTACCTTATTTTCGATGATTGGTGGAGAGGGCGACATCCACGAGAGCACTTCGAGCGATGGGTTCCACCTCCCTTTAACCCCCCTCCAATGACGGCTAAGGAGAAGCACTTAGCCACAGTTAGACGACTCTTGGAACCTTCTATGTGCTATTGCGGAGACCGAGCCGTGATAAACCCTGATAATACGTTGGAGTTTGTGTGTCCAAACAAGCATGAATAAGTGCAAAGTGTATGTGTTGAAATATTGAGCTATATGTGTCATGTACTAATGTCACGTTATTTAGGTATATTCCATGGCGAAGTGTCGTTTCAATGTGTGGTTGTATGGACCTAAGAACAAATGACCCGAAGAACCTCCAAAGGCAGAGCAAAAGAAGAAAGAAAGGTTAATTTATAAAGCACCGCCAGTTAAGTGTGAATATGGTGTTAAATCCAACTATGGTCTAGTCCCTTCGAAGCTTGGAATAAGCCATTACTGCGGCCATATGGTTGACTATGATGAGGTTGGTTATTTTTGTGGTAAACATGAAATCGTATTTTGTTTCTTTTGCTAAGACATATATGATATGATTTTTTGTTTGAACAGAGCACTAGGAAATGCAGGTGAGAATGTTATGATGGTCAAGCTAAGTTCTTGGATGAACTGAAGGGGAAGCAAGTAATTGCACGGAAAAGAGGATATGGACCTGACTACGTCAACCTTTTCGTGAAACATCACAAAGACAAAATGTGTGAGTTTGCTAGACAGCACGGTATTAGTAACCCGATCGACGTTGGGCTTGACAAATGGGGATTGGAGCGGGATGACATTAGAGGAGGAGAGGGCAAGGAAGGAGGCAAGGGAGGAGACAAGAGTACAGATGCAAGCCTTGAACGAGCATGTTGTTGTATTATGTGCCAGTGAGTGCTCGAAAGCCTTTTTTCGTTGCCTGATTTTAAATGTAATATAGTCACGTTGCTAACTGATTTCATTTTATACATGAAGGGATTGGATGCAGCGAGGAACATGCTGCAGAATTGGCTCGTGCAAGGTACGAGGAAAAGAAGTTAGATGAGCACAGAAAACGAGCTGGTCGCACAGTTAAATCACCGATTGTGTTGTCTGATGAGGGGGACGAGGATGAGGACGACACTGCCAGACTCAGCGAGCTCATCGCTCTAGCAGAGGCGGGCTTGCAGGCGGAGGAGGCTGAAGACGACACTGGTAGACTGAGCGAGCTCATCGCTCTAGCAGAGGTGGGCTTGCAGGCGGAGGAGGATGACGACGCGTTCTTCACTTAGGCCGCAGAGGCCGCAGATGAAGCGGAGGCCGCTTACTACAGGCGAAAGCCAGATCATGGCAATGTAGGTGATCCTAGCCACAGCAACAGGGTTGTGGTTGAGGATTGGTACTCAGACGACGATTTGCTTACTCAGTATGTTTCTGACTGAGGGTTTTTTATTGCGCCGTTAGTTAGTTCCTTGCTCTATTAATGATCAATGTAGCTATGTAGTAAAAATTCCATTGTGTTGTCTTATATTTCATTTGAACTACTGTTGTATTGTACCCATGTATCATGTACTCGGATTACCCATGATCGATCTTAAGTGATAACATTTATTTGTATCATGCGTTGAGAATTCCTAAAACGAACGTGATCGCGTTAAATTATCTCGAATACAGCACTGTAGCACACTGGTTCAGCCGCCCCATAGCCCAGGCTCTGCCGTGCCATAGTCCACGGTGCGTCAGTGCCGCGCCATATACCACGGCACGGTAGTGACGTGGTCAGACAACGGCCAGCCTCAATCGAGTTGTTGTCGGTGCTGCGAAAAACTTCATGTGTTGCCGTGACCGTGCGCAAGTTCGAACGAATATGAAGCAAATAAATGTCCGACAAGTTGCCACATTATATTTTCATTGGTTTATGAGTCTGCAAATTTTCGTCGACAATATTCGTTCGACATAAGTTCGACGTAATAAACTAAGTCCTAGGAATGTAAGGATCCCTCGAACGCCTCTTGAAAACCTCATCGTTCGGTGGAAGAAGGGGGTCGTCGTACTCTCCCTCAAGAAGGGGGTACAATAGGTGCATCGTGGGAGGGGCCATCCTGTTACAAATTGATAAGCAAAGGGTTACATTATTTAAATTAACAATATTCAGATTAACATTATGTAGCATTGCAAAATTTGAACTACTTGTTATAAAATACGAACACAATATGAAATCACCTGCTGCCCTCATCTTCTATGGTTGCTAGCCTTGTGACCAGATTATTTGCAAATGGAGCAAAGATTCCTACCACGGGTCTCGTTGAAGTCTCCCCCGCCGTACATGTCTTCGCCGTACCCTCTCATAGCGTCCATGTCCCCCTTGAGTTGCTTCTTCTTCCTCCTACCCTTTCCTACCTTCATTAGATCTAGATGCGGCACGTAGTCATAACCATTATAAGGTGGCCACTGTGTTGGGTCAAGGTATGGCTCGAAGCTTATCTCCCAAATACTAACGCTGTTCGAATGGAGATACAAGGGTGACAAATATGGCAGATCCTCATAGTTGTACCCACGAACCCTATAGGCCGTGATCATATGAGAGCAAGGGGCATGCATGATCTGAGGGACGTTGAAACTGCACTCTACCTTTTCAAGATCAACTCGGTAGTTTCGTCCACCATAACGTTCGCTGCCCAAGCTTGTGCCACCCTTGCCCCGTACACTAAAGATATGGCAACAGGGTCCATACGGCTCGGCGGTGTGCTGCTTGGCCAATTCCTCGACCTCCTTCAAATGTTCAGCTCTGGCCTTTTCCAAAACGTCTCTGCTCAGCTATATTCCTCTGCACAAGTTCCCACCTCTTCACAAAATATTCGTTGCACTTATGAAACAAGAACTCAACAATTCTAGACACAGGCAACGATCGAACTTCTATGAATACACGGTTGAAGGACTCCGAGGAGTTAGTGGTCATGATGCCATACCTGAAACCCCCCTCGCCATATGCTAACGCCCACTGAGCCTTCTGTTCCATCTGCGACTCTAACCAGGCTTTCCCGCTGCATTTACCATCTTGTCTAGTTCTCTCTTTGTCTCCTTAAACTGGTGCTCTGTATGTACGCAACATAGAGCCTTTACCTTGTCACATACCTCCTGCTTCCGCTGACATCGCTAGAAATTAGCGGCAAAGTGTCTCATGCACCATCTATGGACTAGAGGCGGGAACCCATCTATATGCTCAGCTGCAGCATTAAGAAGCCCTGCGTGATGGTCCGAGATCAAACATATAGTGCGAGTTGGGACAAGCACTTGCACATGTAGAAGTCGCATGAACCATGACCATGATTCATTGTTCTCCCCCTCTACCAAAGCAAAAGCGAGGGGTACTATCTGGTCCTCAGGATCAACAGCAGCAACCATCATCAAGGTGTCCCTATACTTTCCTGTTAGGAAAGTGCCATCAATAAGTACGACTGGCCAACAAAACTGGAATGCATGTTCTGTTTGCGTGAATGACCAGAACACACGATAGAGGACATGCCTCAATGGGTCCCGAAAAAACATTCCTCCGGTGTCCACAAACCATTTCAAGGTAGGGTTGTAGTAATGCATTGCACATAAGATGCGGGGCACCCTGTTGTACACTTCCTCCCAATAACCCCATCGAATCGTTAGAGCAATTTGCTTAGCACGCCAAGCCTTTCCGTACGTCACATCGTACCTAACGAATCCAGATATGGACTGTTGTAAGGAAGACACCGAGATGTCGTTATTATCATCAACGAGCCCCAATATACGACGGGCAAGGTAACGTGCAGTGAGCTGCTGATGATTTTCCTTCCCCCTATTATCTAGGCAAGTGTGGGG